CGACGCGCTCTACGAGGCGCGCTGCCGGCTCATCTGTCTCGCGGAGGCGGACCACGAGCGGCTGTTCTTCCCCGACGCTCTGCAGGATAAAGAGCTGGAAGTGGACGTGGACCCGCTGATGGCGGAATCGGTCGCAGAGACGCGGGAGGTGTACAGGCCGAATGTGGCTATGTATGATAAGCCCGGGATGGAGGAGGCAAGGGAAGCGCAGGCGCCCGGGACGCCGCTGGCTTTGGACAAGCTGTCGATTTTCTCGGGTGCGTTGTTCCTTTCTCACTTACTTGCTTACGGTCGGTAGTGATTTCTTCGGCATAGGCCAGGACGAGCAGTTTGCGTACAGACGCGCGTTGTCGCGCCTGGTCGAGATGACGAGCGCGAGCTACGCGCGCGAGGAGCGGTGGGCGCCGCTGCCGCTGAGCGCCCGGAAATGGGAAGACACCGCCGCTGGACCAGATAATCGCGCTTCGGTGGGCACCCGGGCTTCACCCCGACCGTCCCTACACGTTCAGGACGACTTTGCCGGTGAAGCGGCATATGAGCGGACAATGGCGATGCGGGAGCGCCCAAGTGCGCCGCGGATGAAGGAGGAGCATGTGTGGGGAGTCAGGGAGGACTGGGGGGAGAAGGCGAGCGAGTGGGGAAGGGGCGCTGCAGCGTATCGCGGGAGGGAGGGTACGGGATCGCGGTGAGCTGCTTCGCGATTGTGCAGACTCCTAGGGGTGCACTCTGGTGTCGCCGGTATACTGGATCCTGTTGACTTTGAGGCGCTCATACGTGTCCTGTCTCAGCCTTGCATTCGAGCCCAGCGCCGCCGCGAATTGGGGTGCTACGGGACGGGAGAAAGGCGCAGACAGCTAAAGCCACAACTGCGATTTTGCGGATACGCTTATGGACACTTGGATGAAGATGAAGGACGACTCGCATGCGTGGACCAGCCCGCAAGACTTGTCTGGGACCCACCAATGTCTGCGATGCTGTGGACCGGGAGCAGGCACAGGCAGATGCTGCTCCGATTTTGCGGTCACATTCATGGGCACCTCGGGTGAACATGAAGACAATTGGTATATGTGGTCCAGCCCCCAAGGCCCCTCTCCGCCTACCAATCTCTGCAGTATCACCCAACACCATTCTTTGGCGAGACATTGACAGATGGTTGGACACTCATGAATAGTGGCTATGCTAGGCGATATGTGACTGTCTCTCCGAGCCATCTCGGAGATCTCGCATCCTAATGAACAAGAGAGCGCACGAACGTGAACTGGAGGCTCTGTGTCTGGGGCGTCCCGTCCTGACCAGCCAGGGCCCCCGACCCACCGGTATCTTGGAGATATCGTGTCCAGCACCCTAACCACCTACCTACGCTGACGTGAATCTACCCAACCCAGACCTTGACTGAATCCTCCTTTACCCCAATCTTCATGAGGTGCAATGTGTTCTCTCAGACGTAGTGCACGATGGGTCTCGAATCGCCCCGGGTGGCTGTGCGATGGCTGTGTGACACGGTCGTCCTCAGCACTGCCAGTACTGTAAGCCGAACGCACTCTGTAAGTAGAGCCCAATCACTGGGGAGACGCAATCCTGGGTCGCGCGGCGAGTTATTTGGCTTTGTTTGTTCCCTAATAGCGAGTGTCACGAAAATGAGAACACGTAGATCACTTCACACTGCGAGAATCAGGCTAAGATATAGCTGAGAGAAATGCTCAGAAGGATGATTAAAATGTATCGGAAATGTTGGATTTCCGGTACTTTGCCTCTTTCCCTCCATATAGGGTGAAAAAGATATCTGTTTGACTAGTGTTTGAAGATACGATACATTTTCGAAGAATCCGAGTTTTCCGATACATCCAGATATGTCTTCAGAACATTTGGTACTAATGTCGCAAGAGCCAAAAATGACTCTAGGAAGCTGCATGCGCGTGGCGCATTTGAGTCACAACGCGCCTGAAATCAGCGCGTCTGGCTGTGTGACGTGTGTGACAACCGCGTTCTGGTGTCACACTGGAGGTCGCCTTTCCGCTCTCCAATGCACTAAAGACTGCACAGCTTCTCTCAGACTTGATATATAGCATTCTTGATATGGTTCCCTTCCCTTGCAGATATTTGGGTGTAATGAAGCATAATATCTCTGCCTACAGCCATAACAAGAAGTGTACCATCCCGAGTCATACATGCTAATTGGTTAAGTCTGCCTCAAGTCAGCTGAATAAAATAATAATACACCTTTCATGATGTATATGGGATCTCACAAGGTAATCTGTTGAGCATTGCAAGCACAATCAATGGGTGGTTGAGCATGGGAATTGAGGGAATAGGAAAGCTATGATGTACATCCTTATGTATAAGGGAAAAGATGCCATTACACATCCTCTGTATCCCAAAAAACCATTATATCATCCTACAAGAAATTCTAATCACTCTCCGATGTCATTACACGGCGAGTTGGGTCAAGGCGCACTTGTGCCAGTCTTCAGCCACAATCTGCTTACTAAGCGACTCGCGCCGTTGGCAGGCGTTGCGTCTCCCCACAATCACACTCTTCAGGCCTCAAGGAACACACATCCGCCGGAGAATCGGGAGTGTGTTCCTGATTGATTGCACTTTGGCACTCGCCTGAGATTCGGGAGTGCGTTCGTGATGGCACCTTTGCACTCGTTTAGGTGTTCCTCCCCTTGGGTGCATCGATGGGAGGCACGCTCTCAAAGGAACCATTTGTTGTCGTCTGTCTAACTTTCTGATCGTACTGCCACCGCTGGCGATATAACTTGGTCGCATTCAAGGTGACGACCTTGCATTCTAACCTTCGTATCTCTCCAGTTCTCTGATCGTCGTCGCCGGTATTCATTGCTCATCCATGACATCGACTTTAGATCTCGGATGTGACAACCATATAACGGCGCTCGCACCCGAGCTTTGGACTGAAATCTTCGAGACTGCCGCCTACGTCCCTGGAGCGCTGCAGTCCGAGTCGTATGACCCTTTTGGGCGCGTCATCCCTCTACCGCAGGACGAAGAAGTCGCTGCTGTAAAGCAAGCCAATAGCACGACGCAGTCCTTGACACTGGTATGCAAGCGTTGGCGGGAACTCGCCTCACCGATCCTGTATAGGATTGTTGTAGCAGAGGGCACTGAGGGGCTTCAACGCCTCCACAGGACCCTGGTGTCCGACTTCCAGACATCTGACGTCGGCCCGTCCCTCCGAGCAAGTGTCCGCAGATTCATCTGTGTTCTGGCTACGCCAGGGGACCCCCAACCACCCGACTTGAAGCTACTCGCAGAGCTAATCAATGCAATGCCTGCCCTCGTCATATTCAACTTATGGTCGGACAACAAGTACAGCATAATACTCTCTTCGAAAGATGTGCTGTCGGCCACGGCATCACGAGGGGAGACCCTCCGCGTCCTTCATTGGACACCTGGCTGTGAAGATGCTGCTGATGTAGAGGAGTGGAGGCAAATGTTATTGTCCCTGCCCAACCTCAGGATCCTTAGGCATGACTGGGGTCCTTATTTACCCGAACAGATATGCTTTCCTCCTTTGCGACTTCCACACTTGACATGCTCGTCCTGGGGCGACATTCAGTCTGCAGGCCGTCTGACACCGGAAGATGAATTGCCGGCACTACGAACCCTAGAATTTCGGACCCACTTGCCCAACGTCCCTTCTAGTATATGTGATAATATCACTTCACTATTGGTGCCAGCACTGGAGATTGATGTTAGGATGCATGTCAAGGAGCTACTTCGCAAATTACCCAACCTCGTCCACCTCGTGATGTGGTCCTCAGACTGGAGCTTTCTCCCCCGTGCGCTCTCTCTCCCGAGGATACAGAAATTGGGCCTTAGCGCGTGGAGAACAGAGCGAAGCAGTGACAGGGAGTACGAGGTTCTCTTTGAGACGTTGTTTTCCATCAGTGCACCAGAGCTGCGAGTGGTGCGGCTCATCGGTTGGAAGGAATGGTCAGCTCTTCCGCTTGTGGCCCCTCAAACGGTGTCTAGGTTTCAAGAGTTGGCACGGTCCCGTACTTTCAGGGTAGAAGATACGGACGGCAGGCTTTTGTCGGACCTATTGGGCCTCAAGTAGGGAATGCGAGAGAAGTTGGTGAGTCTCGTTTCCCTGTTTCGTCCATGTGCCATGCTACAACTATCTAGGGCGAGGGTCTCCCAACTCAAGCACGTTTTTATCGTGACTGTGCTACGAAGCGCACGGATGGGGCGCGAGCGCACTGCGAGTTACCCCAGTATTTCCCTCCTCATTGGCATGCCCAATTCCGTATTTGCTCTAAAGCATCCCTCCATTGCATCATTTCTTTGCGGACATACCCGGTATGTATTCCCCATGCACATTTCTCCACTTCAGCAAAGACTGCATATCTATTGGGTGTAAGCTAGCGACTATACTATGTGGTATTGTTGATTGTGAAGAAAAGATGCCACACTTAGGAGACTGCCTGCGAGTAGCCGATGAAAATGAACGGGAGAGGGGGCACTATAGCATTCCGAAACTGAAGGGTTACTGGCTCATGTGCGTCGCAGATGCGGAGCCCGAGACGCTGGAGGAATGAGGGAGAAACAAGATAGACCCGCTGAATGCGAAGACATTCTCCAGTCACTTTACGCTTCGCCAGAGAAGTCGCACAGCACATGAAAGGGTGGTGTCTGGGAGGTTTCAGAAGAAGTCTGCTGAGCTGCTATTCGTTCGTGGCGACAACCGTCGTCCCGGAATCACTCCCATGGCACCACTGGCCAGGTGTTCCGGAATGGAGTGCATTTAGAGCCCGGTCATCGGCTGTTGAAGTATGGACTTCGCGGTGACGCTGTTGGTCATTTAACTGCAGTGCAAAAAATAAGTCGTTGAGTACAGGTGGTCACGACCGCAGACCTGAGATACACTGGGATCGTCACCGAAGGTATTCAGAATAATGAGACCTGGTGTAAGACTGATCAAGCCCCTACAGATCAAGCAAAAGCCTGCCCTCCCTGTCCTCCACCCTGAAGGTGCGAGAGAAGGCGAGTTCATGGTACTGAGTCGGAGGTAAAAGATCCCAACTTCTTTGCCCAGTGGTCACCGCTAACGAATCGCATGAGCTAGAGATTGGGAGCGTTGAGGGAAAACAGGTTTTAAAATGTATGTGATGCTCGTGTCGTAAGTTTTGTTCCATTGTCCCAGGTCCGACCTCTCTAAGTTCGGAAGGGAGATCTCGGCTTGAAACGAATTGCCAACTGTCTGACCATGTGTTACTAACTGGACCAGTCTCGGGAGCACTGCGACCCTACTCTTAAGGCGATCTTTTGTAATTCGGAGGATGATGACCAACCGTGACAATGACATGATAGTCGTAGAGAACTGAGCCTCAAGTAGGAGATACAGCTCGAGCACCGAGCTCGTCTTCAGCTTTGAGGCGCCTCACTGTCCCATCGGAAGCCCATGATGAAGAGCGCAGTTGCGGCAAATGCACGGAGGCTGGGACATGTCCGTATGTCTAAGGACTCTCAAGCCGGACAGATGCGAAAGTATGTCTCTCCATTCACATGGATTAGTGTTTGCGGTACCGTTAGAGTTCAGTCCAGAACACGTAGGGCAGCATGCGATGCGAGAGCTGTGAGACAACTTCAAGAAATGCACTTGAGTCACTTCGCCCGATAGCCCAGAGATTGAATACGACAACAGATGAGATTGAACAACTGCGCCATACAGAGTTTGCAGTAGAGGACATGTGCTTTCCGTTTAATTGAGAGACCAAAACAGTCTTTTAGCGGCGTATTTTAATGTTGCGGTTTGTGGCAGGTACTTAGAAGGTCATGGACGAAGATTGCCGGAGCCTTGTCCGAGATCTACACCCGCCAGCTGAACAGAATGCCTTGTTCTCGTTGATGGCGCCACATCCCGAGCCTTGTTCAGTGTCCCCTTCGGGGTGACATACGAAAAAATTGGAACGATACAGAGAAGATTAGCATGGCCCCTGCACAAGGATGACACGCTTACCCAGAGTGGCAGCTCTACGGAGCTCAATATTTATGCTCTTTTCCCCCATTGTCCATCATTAAGTGGATACCGACAGCAAGTAATGTTCCTTGTCCGAGTCGGACTCTTGTGTATGTATTAACTGCACTGAAAATGGTCAACCCTAGAAGTGGTTCACTTTTTCTGCTTGTGTAAGGATAGCTTCTATTACACTTCTATCATTCTGTAGCAACTATCGGCACTAAACAGGTCTCCCCTACCCTAGTAGGCTATATGGCTCCGGATTGACGACTGAGTGCCATCCTCATTGTAGTTATGTACAGTGGACAAATGAGCATATATAGGTTGAGCTCTGCTCCAGAATGAAAGCGGAAGTATGTGTAGTGCGGTGTGTCCTGGAAGCGCGTAATGCGTGTACAACTAAATTACCCCAAGTTCATCAGGACTGCTCTAGGGTGGAGTTAGTCAAGAGCGGGGACTCCTCAGAATCAGACTTCGTGTCTAACAGAAGCCGTAATCCCGCAAGCCCATCGGCCAACTTCTTGGGAAACTTGTCGGGGTTGTAAGACCAGGGCACGCATGAGAAACCACGAGGACCTCCAGCCCGAGATCGTTTAGTAGAGTTACTCTCTCTCCCCACAGGTCGCGTCCACTTCATAACGAGTTCTCCTTCTCTCGGTTCCGTCATTGCGTCGGGTCCCGAATAGGCTGGATTTCGTCTCGGAGACGCGGTGAATCTAACGATCCGCAGCACAATGGTGCGCGTCCCTGCATGCTCAGGGAACGTGGAGCGCTCGAAGCGTAAAACAGCCGAGCCTCATCCGATCCTAAGGGGCAACTCCAAACGAGAAAACGAATCGCACATACCAAGGTATGGCGCATGGTACCTATGATTACTTCCAAGGCCAAGGAGCAGACAAAACAAGCCTGGCAGCTCTATCCATCCGGCGTTGTTCTGTTGATCTAAAATCCAGAGATAGATATGTGCATTGTCGAGGTTGACTTCAAATTCCTGGTTCAGTGACCTGATGAAAGGATGCTTCCCGTATGGTCGACAATACCCCCCCACAACCCTAGAACGCGTCTTCACGAGTTCTCTTACTCTATCCACGGACGTCTCCGGCACAAGGCCGTCACAGATGAGGAGCTCACGAAGGGCCTTGTAGGTTCGAAAGGAGAAGAGTCTGGCGAGGAGCAGGTGCCAGGGTCCACCGTCGGGCAGTAGAAGGTCCCGCCCTTCCTCAAAGTGGGACGGCTCGCTGAGAGCACGCAGTCTCAAGGTTGTTACGCCGGAAGGGTCGATGCAATCGGAGGGGGGGAGACGGCGGGGTCGAGGGTCCTAATAATATGGCTTCTCTGTTAAGATTGCGAAAAAAATGAAGAGTCTCCTTGCTTATAAAAGGAGTTCGTCAGCTTACTCCAGACCGAGTCCGCACAGCGGGCTGGGATACACTGCGCGGGGATGCCTTGGTGCTGGTGTTCCGCCGTCCGGTGTAAGCGCTAAGGTACACGCCTGGGATGGCAAGCCGCTGCAGAGCTCTGTATAGTCTTTCAGCGGCGCCATACGATCTCGTTGAGAGTCTTGAGGCTGAGTGCATTACTGCGGTGCGCAAACAACCTCGCCGCCACAGAACCAAATAAGTCCAAGCAATCAACCCAACTTTTCGCGTTCGACTTCGCTTCCTGGCGTGCAAGCTAGAGCGTCAGCGAAGGCGCTGTCCTCTGAATCTCCTTGCCGGGGTCTGCCACACCCAGCATGCATCTTTATAATCTCACCTTGCAACCGCCAACAGCCATCACTCAGGCCATCGTTGGAAATTTCTCCGGCGCGAGGCAGCAGGAAATCATTGTTTCGCATGGAACGCGACTGGAGCTGTTGCGACCTGACCCCCAGACTGGGAAGGTTGCCACTGTGATAGCATGCGACGTCTTTGGTTCGATACGCTCACTGGCTGCGTTCCGCCTGACTGGGGGTACCAAGGGTGAGCCCTTGTACGTATGCCTGCGTTTTTGCACGATTTACAGTGATTTTCTCAGATTATGCTATAGTAGGATCTGATTCTGGACGCATTGTCATTCTGGATTATGATCCCAAAACTAGTAGCTTCGTGAAACTGCATCAGGAGACTTATGGCAAGTCGGGCGCGCGCCGTATCGTCCCTGGCCAGTACTTGGCGGTCGACCCCAAAGGCCGGAGCGTCATGATCTCGGCCATAGAGAAAGCCAAATTGGTCTACATCCTGAACAGAGATGCCGCTGCGAACCTGACGATATCGTCTCCTTTGGAGGCCCATAAAAATGCCTCTATAATCCATCATATTGTGGGATTGGACGTCGGATTCGAGAACCCTACCTTTGCGGCGCTCGAGGTTGACTACAGCGAGTCCGACCAAGATCCTACAGGCGAAGCCTTCAATAACGCCGAGAAGGCGAGTTGATCACATCTGGCAGTGGGCTTCGGCTGATTTGACTTTCTCCAGCTACTCACCTACTATGAGCTTGATCTTGGGTTGAACCATGTTGTGCGAAAATGGAGTGCACCGACAGATCCTAGAGCGAATCTCCTCGTCCAAGTTCCTGGTGGCCAACTCGCGTCTAGTGACCGGTACGACGGGCCCTCCGGTGTTTTAGTCTGTTGCGAAGATCACATTATTTATCGGCATATGGACGCCCCTCAACACCGAGTGCCTATCCCTCGTAGACGGCATCCCTTGGAGGATCCCGACCGCGGCCTCATTATTGTGGCTGCTGTCATGCACAAAATGAAGGCATGTATTTGTTATACTCGGCTGACCTCTCTCGACTGACAATGTGTTCAGGGCGCTTTCTTTTTCCTGCTTCAGAGTGAAGAGGGTGACCTTTACAAGGTCACGATTGAGCACGAAGAGGAAGAGGTGAAGGCACTGAAAATTAAGTATTTCGACACTGTACCTGTTGCATCCAGTCTCTGTATTCTCAAGTCCGGTTTTCTCTTCGTCGCTTCTGAATTCGGTAACCAGTTGAGTATGTCCTTTCTGCCATGTCCACCCAGACCCTGACGCGCTTCTCAGCTATCTTTATCAATTCCAAAAGCTCGGTGATGATGATGACGAGCCCGAATTCAGCTCGACCTCCTACCCCTCCTTCGGCATGGATGATCCTACCCTGCCTCTCCGCCGGGCATACTTCAAGCCACATGCTCTGGATAACTTGGCCTTGGCTGACGAGCTCGAGTCTCTGGACCCGATTCTCGACGCGAAGGTGATGAACCTGTTGCCGAACTCAGATAGCCCCCAGATTTTCACCGCGTGCGGGAGAGGTGCTCGGAGCTCGCTCAGGATGCTGCGACACGGTCTCGAAGTTGAGGAAGTTGTCAGCTCGGACCTCCCTGGTATTCCCAATGCGGTGTGGACGACTAAGATCAAAGAAGATGGTAAGCCCTCTTCTCCTCGCAAAGTTCCCTTCATACTGATCTACGTATCAAGATTTATATGATTCATACATCATCTTGTCTTTCGTCAATGGTACCCTTGTTCTCTCAATAGGCGAAACCATCGAAGAAGTGCAAGATACCGGATTCCTTTCTTCTGCGCCGACATTGGCCGTCCAACAAATTGGAGAAGATGCTCTGCTTCAAGTCCATCCTCACGGTATCCGACATGTGCTTTCTGATCGACGGGTGAACGAGTGGCGTGCGCCCAGTGGCAAAACGATCGTTACAGCTACTACAAATAAGCGACAAGTTGTGGTGGCGTTGAGCTCGGCAGAGCTGGTCTACTTTGAGCTTGACTTGGAAGGCCAGCTCAACGAGTTCCAGGATCGTAAAGCAATGGGCAGTACGGTCCTCGCACTCAGTGTCGGAGAGGTGCCGGAAGGTCGTCAACGAACACCCTACCTGGTCAGTCTTCCTCGTGCTCCGACGCGCCGGTTTACTGATTATAGTTACGCTGGTTACAGGCTGTTGGCTGTGAGGATCAGACTGTCCGGATAATCTCCCTCGACCCGGAGAGCACGCTAGAGACCATCAGTCTACAAGCGCTGACGGCCCCGCCATCTGCGATATGTATCGCGGATATCCTCGACGCGAGCATAAACAAGTCGCATCCGACAACGTTCGTCAATATCGGTCTGCAGAATGGTGTGCTGCTTCGTACGGTACTGGATCCTGTCAACGGCCAACTCACGGACACACGGACACGGTATGTGCTCGCGATAGCTATCCTGCTCCGTTCTCATGACGTACAATTAGGTTCTTGGGTACACGACCAATCCGACTGTTGCGGATTCAGACGCAGAAGAATCCCGCTATCCTGGCGCTCTCCTCACGATCGTGGCTGAATTATACCCATCAGAACCTCATGCACTTCACGCCGCTCATCCTCGATACGCTGGATTATGCATGGAATTTCTCCGCGGAGCTGTGCCCTGAAGGGTTGATCGGTATTGCTGGAAGCACATTACGGTGAGTATCGATCCATTGGACCACCTTTCTGTGATGATCCCAAGGGAACGGAAAGCACCACGGTGCATGCCGATACCTTTTATAATACCAATTGTTCCTACTGAGGCTTCTCTACTACACACAACGCGCCATGTCGTTCACGAGCTGATTTGATACCTACAGAATATTCCAGATACCAAAGCTCGGGACGAAGTTAAAACAGGACTCCATCCCACTGGCATATACTCCTCGCAAGTTCATCTCGCACCCTACGAATCGGTACTTCTACCTTATCGAAGGCGACCATCGGTCCTACTCGGACGCGACGGCCACGAGTAAGCTGAATGAATTGGTAAGTGTGGCAGTTCAACCTGTGGTATATGTATAGAGCTTGACTTGCGTCGCCATCGCAGCGGAGTCAGGGAAAAATGATCGATGATGACATCGTCAATCTGCCACCTGAGACGTTTGGACGCGTTAAAGCCCCTGCGGGGCAGTGGGCGTCGAACATCAGGATTATCGATCCGGTTGATGTGCGTTGGTATTTGCTCCTTGATTATTATGTGCCCTGACAGCACTATCGTCATTCAGGCAAAGACAGTAAATGTGATACCGCTTGATAACAATGAGTCGGCGTTCTCGCTCGCTATCGTGCCCTTCGCGGCTCGGGGAGGAGAGCTGCATCTGGTGGTTGGGACTGCGCAGGACACGTTCTTGTCGCCACGGTCGTGTACCAGTGGTTTCTTGCGCACATACCGGTTTACAGATGATGGCACCGGGCTTGAGTTATTGCACAAGGTTCGTTCTGGTATCCATGACGAGACGGTTCATTCTAATCCTTGTTTCATCATAGACCGAGACGGACGACGTCCCGTTGGCTGTGATGCCGTTCCAGGGCAGGCTGGTGGCAGGTGTGGGCAAAGCTCTACGTATTTATGATATCGGCAAGAAGAAGCTTCTACGGAAAGTGGAGAATAAAGTGAGCGTGGTGCGCTGTTGAGCTACCAGGCAGCTGACATCCCCTCCAGGGCTTCGGCTCCGCGATTGTGAATTTGAATACACAAGGCTCCCGCATCTTGGTCGGTGACATGCAAGAGTCTATCTTCTTTGCAGTATACAAAGCACCCGAGAACAGACTCCTCATCTTCGCTGACGACACGCAGCCCAGATGGGTCACGGCGGCGTGCATGGTCGATTATACGACCGTTGCTGCCGGCGACAGATTCGGAAACGTCTTCGTGAACCGCCTAGACATGAAGGTGTCGGACCAGGTTGACGACGATCCCACCGGCGCTGGCATTTTGCACGAGAAGGGTATACTAATGGGTGCGCCGCACAAAACGAAGATGCTGTCCCACTTCCACGTCGGTGACCTTGTAACGTCGATACACAAGGTGTCGCTGGTTGCTGGAGGTCGTGAAGTCCTGCTCTATACCGGTCTCCACGGGACGGTCGGCATTCTCGTGCCCTTCGTGTCGAAGGAGGACGTGGACTTTATCTCGACGCTGGAGCAGCATATACGGTCTGAGCAGCCGAGTCTGGTCGGGCGAGACCAACTGGCGTGGAGAGGGTATTACGTGCCGGTGAAGGCGGTCGTGGATGGGGATCTGTGCGAGACGTTTGCGAGGTTGCCCGCGAGCAAGCAGAGCGCGATTGCGGGCGAGCTGGATAGGACGGTTGGGGAGGTGCTGAAGAAGCTGGAGCAGCTGAGGGTCACGGCGAGTGGGTTCTAGGCGAGGACGTTTGTACCAAAATGTATATCTATTATTTTTGTTGTTTTCGTAATTGCAAGTGCTTGCAAGTGTTTTGTGTCGCACGGCCTCGGAGGTCAAAAAGAGTTAGATGCGAATCGGAAAAGAAGCAGTGGTGGCTGTGCAATGCTATCGGGTACTTTAGATCGTGCCACAACTCTTCCAGTTGCCACACGCCAGTCGCGCGTTCACGCGTCTAACCCCTCTGCATTCCCTCGTTCCATCAATACAACAGAAACAAATGCTTTCCGTGCTGCTTCACCAGAAAGCAACAGGCTTGGCGAGCCTTCCGGACGACCTTATACTCTTGCTCATCAAGCTTATGGATATTGGCAGCATATTATCACTAAGGCTGGTAGGTGGCATCTTGTGCTCCTCACGAAGGAACCTTAATATGTCCAAGACCTGCAAACGTCTTCTCGGATTGACGAAGCTGCGCTGGGTTTGGACAGACGCGCTTCAGCGCCTCGTGTACGATAAAGGACTGCCACTTTCCGGCAAGAGAAGGGACATCAAGTCGTTTTCTTCGAGGGAAATCGAACCATTTGTGGTACACTCTACCAGATTTCACGAGAACTGGCTCTCTCAGTATCCTCAGGCTCGCAGATGCATCATGTTGTCTGCTGCGGCATCCTCCACCACCGAGACTCTCGAGACTAACTTCGCCGCAGTACATTTCGTTGCCGGGGAAGATGGCGAGTACCTTATTACTGTCTCAGGCTCGCAGTACAGGTCGACTGTCTCCTGCTGGGAAGTGCCCCTGCGTGGGTCCCAGGCGTTCTGTGTCGCACAGCTGGAGGATCAGGCCTCCCATTATCTCTTCGAGCTCGTGTGCAACGAGGATCCCGACAGTCAAGGCACGTTCTGTTTGCAAACCAACCTAGAAGTGTAAGGCATGCCCCTATCATATCTTTTGTGCTGGGTAACTGATATCCCTTATAGCCCGTCTTTGAGAGTATACTCCCTGGACAAGTTTCACGGACGCTTCGTCGCGCTATCCGTAGACGTGCCAGTCATTCCGGATGCCTCAGTTCTGCTACTTCGTGGGAACTTCATCCTATTCGACAACCTGCAAGTGTACGATTGGAAGATGGACCGCTTGCTGAGCCTCAGCATCAGCAGCGACGATCCCGATGTGGTACGCGTGTTCTGCTTGGCTGTGACATCGCATTGACTCACTATGGCACAGGAGGACCTGGTACTCGGTGCAAAATATATCAACGGATATTTCCTTATAGTGCGGCGCCACTCGGGCGTCCTCGTCAAAGCGCCGAACCCCACCTCACCGGCTGTTCAGGGCGACCCAGGCCTCATCATACACTGGGACTTCCACGCCATCCAGACCGCGATCTACGTCCAGGACCCATTCTACCGCGACCAGACCACCGGGTGGCCAAAGGTGCCCATCACCATCCTTCTGCGGGGCTTCGAGGTCATCAAGCAGGTCGATTTACTGGCCACAGTACCCAGCACCGCTGGGCCCTCTCGCGACACCAACGATACGCCCGAGGCCGGAGTCGCGCTGCACGTCATCAACAACAGGCTCATCCCCATCGTCCCCTCCCATGCGGAGATGCTCGTCGGACCGAGCGGCAAGGGCATCTGGCTCGAGACGCGCAACATCACGCGCAAGCACGCGACGTACCCCGCGCGCTGCATCGTCGGCTTCAGCGTCCGGCGCGAGCATGACGAGGAAGCGTGCGCGTCCGCGGCGTACCAGCCGCCGGGCAACGTAGTCGAGATGTGCAAGAGCGAGGTGTTCGTGCAGAGACTTGGGTCGTGCGAGCTTGCGAGGCGCCGTTATGGTTTGGGGTGTGTCGCATTCGAAGACACTGTCGGCCGGATAGCGTTTATCGGAAGGGATGGCACCCTTCAGATCCTAGACTACGCTTGAAGGATGGCGTCCTGTAGCACTGTATGAATTACAGACATGGCTGCCAATCCCGCAAGCTGTGCGTCTTGGTAGACGGAAGTGTATAATTGTTGTATCATCTCGAATTTGAACTGGCTGGCGCAAAGTCTAGTGCTTCCAACTGGCTATATAATTGTAGTGCAGCTGGTACGCATCGGTAGCCGAGCTGACAAGGCTTGTCCCACGTTATGAAAAATAGCGTTCCGGATTGCATTTTCCGGACCGGAATATTGTCTTGAGTATTTGACTGTATGGCACTCGGAGACAAAGCATCGACTGAGCATCCCAAGAATAAATAGCAAATAAAAATACACATCTACATCAAACGTGCTGACGGCAAGAAAATAGATTGATTACCCTCTGCTCGTGCCGTTCCTTATCCTTCCGGTTAGTAGTAGGATCTCGGACAGAGTATTCCAGGTAATCAGAGGAGGACCGTCTTTTTCGCGGCGCATGCCCAAGTCGATGGTAAATCCAGCCAGCTTTTCTTTCGGCTCTCCCTCAACACGATGCTGGCCATTCGTGACAGACGGTCGCTGCTTACTTAAGCCAGCTTCCGGGACAAGGAGGGACTTCGGGTGTGGATGCGGATGTCGTCTCGAAGCAGCAGAGATGCCAGGCAAAGGACGACCAGTCGTGGTTCGGACATTTTGTTGCGCGGTAGATACGATTCCAGACGATACGCTCCCCGGTTTTTTTCGGCCCTCCGCACCTTCGGAAGGCGCATCAGCTGCGCGAACTGGCATTGTCTGCACCCTCCGGTCGTCCGAGCTTTTCAGCGATTTATGTGGCGGCTGGATCTCTACCACAGACCCGTCACTGTCTCGTTTCCGCTTGCTTCTCGCCGGAATGGCGGAGCTGCCCCGCGCTCCTTCATTACCTTTTCGCATGAAACTTGGCACCACCCAGGCATCGGGGTCATGAGTTGACGTCCTGGTGTGAGACAGCACCTGCTCTGCACGGCCTCCCTTATGCTTCAAAGATTCCTGAACCGATGCCGGAGTGATGGCCCGTTTAAAGCTACTGGAAGATCTGGCCCGAGAAGCTTTTGAATCCCGGTCCGCATTCGAGGGCTTGGTGTCAATGAACACGTCCGGGCTCGAAGGCAAGATGGGGACATCTGACGACCGGGGAGGGGCGAATACCGGCGGCAACCCATCGCTCCTTTGCCGAACTCTCGAGATGCTAGGGCCACTCGTAGGCGGAGATATAGGGTGCTTGCTGAAGGACCGCTGAGATAGACGAGGCTACACATAGTGAGCTAACTATTTCGAATCATGAACAACCATGCTCACCTTTTGGCTTGCCTCACGTGCCAACGTAGCAAGGGTCTCCCGATCATCCGAAGAATAGCCATCATCTTCACGCCCAATGTGCGCATGGGGGGCTGCTGTGGGACGCTTACAATCGCGAGCGGGAACGTCTGGATGGTCTTCGATCGGCCCCTCGAGCTCCAGCTCCTCCGTCGCCTGAGGGTAGCCCATTCCATCGACGTCAGGAGACATCTCTTGTCGCACAGAAACTACTTCAGCCTGGACGTCGTTTCCTTCGGAATGGTGCTGACTATCGCGAGTCATCTCGGGCGAGGACCGGTCTCCCTCATAGCCACGGTCACCCCCCACCACACTGGCACCGTTGGGGGGAAGCACCTGAGCCGAGGGCGCGGCAATTCGCCCCCGGTCCAACCCAGCAAGAATATTGCTCTGCGATAACGAGGCAGCACCCTGCGACTGACTCTGCGATTGCGTAAACCTCATGGAACCACTACCAGATCCCGAAATGTCAGAGTTTGGCACGAGAATCCGCTCGGGACCCGAGGCATTGGGGTCGCGGGGGCGTGGCGGAACAGGGTAGGGCACTTTCCTTGCACCGTGCTTCGGGAACACTATCGAAGGCGGGATATTTGTAGAGGTCTCGCGGGCCTGTTGGGAGTTGGCCGAAGGGATTTGGGAAGTGGAATGCTCGGGGTGTGTGGCGAGTGTTTGAGAAGCAGCACTGGGAGAGAGACGGCGGAAGTCACTTCTAGGTGGGTTGGAGGGTAGCCAAATGGATGGAGAACCACGTCGCTGCTCGTCTGCCTGGGCTAAATGGCTGAACTCGAAAGTATGGTCAAGACCAGCGTTTGCCGCGAGTTCATCTTCTTGATTCTGCTCAGGACTGCCGTGCACAGACGGCGACCACTCCGATCGGGTGGGCGTGGTTGGTCGGCGGAAGGCGGCGTCAGTTCCATCAACTTCGACCTGAGAAGCGTCCGGCGGCGAGCTGGAACCTAAATCAAGTGCATGGCGTCGCTCTTCCCGAGCCCTATCAGTAAAAAGCATCGGATCATATGCGTTGTATTGGTCTCACTTGGTGGTGGCGTTCGACGGCGAGGGGAAGGGGCAGGGTCATCGACAGTGGGTTCCTCCCCCTGACGCTGACGCTGACTGGCACGGTCTGCCGTCGTGTTAGCTTCCTCAGTCAGTCTCTGAGAAATCTGTCCAATGGTAACTTCATTTGGCGGAGCCTTCAAGGCTGCTTTGACCGGATCGGGTACATATGCCCAACCGATGATATCTTCAGTATCAGCCGCCTTAATATACGACTGCCATCGACTTTAGTCAATATATGCGCCTTGATATACAAGATGAGATACGTACTTTCCAGCTACGTCTCCACAATTGCCCTACAGAAAGATCTGCTGTGCTGCGATGAGTGTTAAACGCCTCCCTTTTTGTTGTCGTTCGCGAAGATTCTTCCTTCTCCGCAGACTTGTGCTTCCGAGTGAGTATGTTATCAAGGGAGATCTTGACCCGACGGTCTTGAGCCTTCCCCTCTGCCCGGCCTTCCGGGGCCTCTTGCTCTTTCTCGATCTTCAGAATGTTCCTGCAGCACACCGTCTAGAATGGGGTTCGCAGAGGGAGTAGAGTGCAAATAATCCGGACTTACCCACCACCCCCATCCTGCTGCAGACCTTCCGTCCACCGTCTCACTTTATCAACCCCGCCCACGTCGCTCGGACTCCCCCACCGCGCCTCTGCCACGCTCCCAACCACCTCAATAAAGTCCACTTCGAGTGCTAGCCTGGCGTGCTTCGTCATTCCTTTGACATTGCCGCCCAAGGGGACGCGGCTGAAGAAGGGGCGGAAGTCTTTGATTTTGACAAGAGCGTTACGCTGCTCCGTCAGTCTCCTACCCTCCGGTCCCACTGCACTGTCAAAGCACCGCGTTTGCATAGGATTCGAATATTAAACCCCCCTTTTTTCAGGTTTCGCAGTACAGGCGGGACTCACGCTCGGTATGTGCGGAGTGCCTCCGCGTTGATTCGCACCGGGATTGTGTGCTCTTTGTCGGATACAACTCCCCATATACATGAGTCTTCAGTGTCTTGGTTGTAGGTAAGGAACTGCGTGCAGAATAAATACTAGTAGACATCGCTAGAGAGAACTTTAACGCACCTCAATCAACTGCACTTTCTTATTCTTTGAATATTTCGGCACGTTAGAGAGAAAGGCACCGTATGTTTCGCCAACTTCAGCGAGATATGCGTAGATCCACGGCGTACGGAGAGACTCGGACATGGTCGAAAGGCATGCGACCGACCAGCTGGGGTGTGGCTGAGAGTGAAACTCGATTGACGCGCTCGCGTTCGGTCACGAGCTGCGATGACAGTGACGTGACTTCCTTGAGGGCTGCAAGCACTGTGATTGGCCTGCTGAACTTAGTATGCCCGGCTGGTGGCATAAACTCTCTCTTGCCGATTCCTCAACCACTGTCATCTCAAGTCAAGAGGTAGCGTCGGAGATTCCTTATCCGGATGCCAGTTTCGCATGGTTCACCAGTCCGGTCAGCAGCAGAACCACCCACAAATGTCCCTACTAAGACCATGCCATGACTGCGAACTGAAGCTCAAGCAGTACATGGCCATCCAGTCAAGCTCAGCCAGCAGGCAGCAACGTATTCCCCGACAAATGTAGGGCATACAGTAGAATTATATAATCTTCCTCGTCTAGGGTCAAGCGGTATTATCGGTTACAGGGACATCAATAGAAACAGTCCTATCACCCGGGGCGCGGCTTGGCAGCTGTGTCTTCAGGTGATGTTGTATCGCTGTCGTATTAGCTTTGTCATCCACAAGGATCAATAGCAAGCCGAAAGCTTTGACAGAGTTGGCTTCCGAGGCCTAGTCTAAAACAGCATACTTCTTCAAGTGTCCCGGGATAGCATCCTCAAGTCCCTTCGCCTGCAGCCATTTTTTGGAGAACAGCCGACTCTGGTACCGGTACGCGCCATCGCAGAGAATGGTAGCCACGGTGGAACCTGCGGACCGTCAATTTCATTTCACGCAATTATAGGGAGGTGTCTGCTCACCTTTTCCCAGCTTCTGAGCCAGCTCGACGGCGGCGACCACATTCAGCGCCGAACTGGCACCAAGGTACAATCCCTCTGTGTCCAGCATCTCATACACCATAGCAATGGACTTCTCATCCGGGATATGCAGCGCGCCAGAGACATCATTGACAAAGGTGCCCAAGTTATTCGTGATACGACCCTGACCAATGCCTGATTTGGATCCTCAGTTGTGGTATCTTGGCTGCGATAAGCAGATCAACTCACCTTCTGTGATTGAACTGCCCGTCCGTTCCTTCAGCTTCCCCCCAGAGGTAATATAGCTATGCAGCACGCTCCCCGGCGGGTCCGCCAGCCACACCTGCGTCTTCCCGGCGCTCTTCTCCAACAGGTAGCGTCCAGTCCCCGCAAGCGTGCCACCCGTCCCCGTTGCGCATACGAACCCGTCTAACTTGCCCTCGGTCTGCTCCCAGATCTCGGGCCCGGTGGTTCTGTAGTGCGCTTCCGCATTCGCGGTGTTGTCGAACTGGTCCGTCCAGATCGCGTTGTCAAGCTCCCGTGCAAAGTCGCGCGCCTGGTGGTTGTAGTTCTTCGGGTTCTCGTACGCGACTGCCGGAACGGGGTACACCTCCGCGCCGAGCATGCGTAGGAGGTCGATCTTCTCTTGGCTCTGAGGACCATAGATGATGTCAATACGGATTTAGATGAGATGAACGGACGGGCTGATTTGACGCACCTGGGTGTTTGGCATGAAGATCACGCACTTGTACCCCCGTGCTCGGCACACATGCGCGAGCCCAATACCAGTATTCCCGGCGGTACCTTCAACAACGGTTCCTCCTGGTTTTATCCTTCCTTACCACACGAGGCAACTCCAGTAAGCCAACCAGCACTAGTTGACACACTGGTCTGCGTACCGTCCCCTCTTCTCCGCGTCCAAGACAATGCCTAGCGCAGCTCGGTCCTTGACGCTACCGCCTGGGTTCTGGAACTCCGCCTTGCCCAATATTCGACACCCCGTCTTTTCGGACAACGTCTTCAAATAAATCTAGGTTCATGTACACGGCTGGTCAGCACTGATCATGGTAGACGTGGAAGCTGAGCAGGACGTACAAGGGGCGTGTTCCCGACTGCTCCCGTAAAGCCATCCACTGGTCTTGACGTGAACGTCCTCTTGAAGATCTGTCGCCCGATCCCTGAAGACATGGTAGAGGAAGTGACCACCGGCAAGCAGCTGCGAGCAACATTAAAAGCCTCAGATTCATGCAAGGCGTCATCGTGAGCAGCAGATTCGCAATTTCTGCGGTTAGGTAATCACTGACATGCATTCCGAATTCGAAGTCCAGAACGACGTTGCATCAGCGAGTTTCAATGCTGATGCGGTACTCGTATATGTTACACCCATCCATTAATTATCGTAGATAAACCCTGGCAAGAATGTAGAGTAACCTGTACGGAGACGAAAGATAAGGGGGGAGGACGTATGGACGTTCAGTGTCCGTCATGCATAGGGGACGTCGTATGGGGCCATAAAGAGATCAGCAGACAAGTAGTATGGGTATCAACACAAGAGGGTAATTAGACTAGACAGACAGAGGCCGAAATCCAGGATGAGGGACATGGGGAACGAGATCAACGTATTTATTGCTGCCGCTTCTTCACGTTTTGAGATAGCCACTGGAGTCCCTCAAAGAGACCCTCGCCGGTGGTAGCGCAACTTTTAACTGCCGCATGAATGCTCCGAGACAAGGAAAGCAAGAAAGGTCACGCACCTTGGGTGGACATACCACGAGCGGTCCCGCATCCGGTGCAGACCAAGCTTCTCAGTGACCTCCGCCGGAGACATAGCTACGTATAACATCAATCTACACATTCCGAAACCAAACGTAAAATACTCACCACCCGGAAGATCCTGCTTATTCGCAAACACGAGCAACAAACAATCCTTCATCTCTCTATCGCTCAATATCCGGTGAAGCTCCTGTTTCGCCTCGTCTATCCTCTCCCTGTCTTGACTGTCCACCACGAACACGAGACCCTGCGTCCCGGTGTAGTAATGTCTCCATAGCGGCCGAATCTTATCTTGGCCACCGACGTCCCATACGTTGAATTTGACGTTCTTGTAAGTGACGGTCTCCACGTTGAAGCCAACTGCAAGCATTCCAGGAACGGGTGAGCAGAAATGTAAACACCAAGCGACACCTATACATACCGGTGGGGATCGTCGTCACGGACTGGTTGAGTTTGAGCTTGTACAGAATTGCTGCACATCTCCTTCAGCAACACGGGCGGTATCACCAAGAACTGAGCGCTCACTTGTCTTTCCAGCCGCATCCAAACCCAACATCAACAACCTCATCTCCTTATTGCCAAAAAGCTTCCCTGTGTACCAAAGTCAGCCCACGCCGGTTTCACCGAGGCTTGACGACACGGAACGCACCCAGAGCTTTCGAAAGGTTAGCGCCCATGATGGTTTATGCAGAACAGGTGAAGTAAAAGAGCGACGAGGGGGATGGGCGGCGAGGGGGCAAGGAAACACGTAGAGCTGGGAACGAAGTTGAAAGAACGTAGTCGGACCAGAATCTGGCGTTGTCTCAAGTCCACGTTCAACGGTCCAATATCGCCTTCGGAGGACCCGGGGCACCGAAGCGAGAGCCTACGGCAAACACCGGTATGGACTCCAGACACCTTTTTTCGGAGTCCACACCCACCTACATTATCAATATTTGCAAAAAGTCATCCGCTCAGGAATCACCTCTGGCCTGAATCAAGTTTGCCAAAATTCTGACGGACCCTCCATATATCAGCATACGAGTCTACGACATGATGGAACGTCTATACTCCATGATCATCGAAGGGTTAAGTTACATAAATACACACGCATCTGAACCAGCAAGAATAATCAGCCAGGCTCCCCATCATGACAGCAAAAATCGCAACGCACCAAAGCACGGCCGGGTATACACGAACGTCGGATATCACACATTATAATACATAGACCACTCTCCCCGCCCAAGCTAAGCCCGAGGCGACTCCAGCTGCGTCTGGCTGAACACCTTCAGCCACCCCTCCCCCATATCGCTTCGCAGCGCCTCTATCCGCGCGCGGAAGGCCTCGGCCTCCTTATGTGCGGCGTTCTCCCCGTCCTCATCCGACCCAGCCGGCGGCTCGTACACCGATGCAGAGACGCGACCGCGCCGTAGTGCGGACTTAGACTTCCCTGAGATGGTCGCAGACCGTCGCGTCTGCGTAGGTTCTGGTTCGGTAACAGGTGGAAGAGCGGAGGGGGTGGGTGGGGATGCGAGGAAGACAGTAGAGACGGGCCGGGAGACGTAGGACGTTTGCGAGCGACTATGGCGTGAGCGGGGAGGCGGACGGGAAGGTAAGGTCGTCAGAGGGTTTGCCGCTGGAGCATCTCCTTCTTGCCCCTCCTTGCCTTTATCGCCTCCTTCTGGACTGGCAAGATCTCGCGTCTGGACCGAAGCGAGAGCCTTGCCCTCTGACATAGTCCGTCCATGCCCATGCTTCCGCCCTTCAATGCCATGCTCACACTCGCCCTTCCCGTCCAGGTCCACAATCCTCTTATTCTTCTTCCGCCGATTCTTGCTCACTATCGCGGAAGACGCCGCGCCAAGATGCGGCGACGCAGTCTGCGACGACATCGATGACCCTACGGGAGACCGCACAGGACTCACGCTTGAGCCTTCCGCCCGTCTCGCAGGCGGGCTGAACGCGCTCCCGACAGGTACCACGGGGGGTGAGTACGCCGTGGAGACAGGCCGCGAGCTCGACATCTGGACTGGCGGTGGACTTGTCATGAAGGACTTCTCGTAGAGCCCCGGAGGGCTCCCATCGAGCATGATCTCCTTGCCCTCCTTCCAGAAGTACTCGAAACACTTCACTCGGTAGTTCTCCTCAATCTCGACAAGCGGGTTCCCCTCGACCCAGACCTGACTTATATTTGGGAGGGTCGCGAGCCGGCCGACCTCCGCGCTCTCTTCGATAAGGTTGTGCCTGAGGTCGACGCGCTCGAGCGCCATGAGACGTTCGAGTCCGCAAAGCGACTCCAACCTGTTGGACGCGAGGTTCAACGAGAGTACACTGCCCAGAACTTTGTAGATCCCGAGCACGGAGTCGATCATGTTATCGGAGAGGTTGAGTGAGCGGAGGTTGTACAGGGTCGACAACCCCTCTGGCACGGAAACGAGTAAGTTTGAAGAAAGGTCGAGGTGCATGAGAGACGTGAGGTAGGGCAGGGGTGCGGTAGGCAGGAATGTCAGCGCGTTATCGGCGAGACAGAGGTGCCGCAGGTTGGCCCATTTCGATGGGGCTAACTTGGGCGGCTGAGGATCACTCTGCTTCGGTGTTGAGGGCTCCTCTTCGTCCTCTTCGTCGTGCTCTGTCACAGACTCAGGTAACGACGTACTGTAAAACGACGTCTGTCTTGTCGGGCCCAGGTGCCGGCGCCGTGTCCGGTTAACCGTCCCTTCCGCCCTTGCCTGATCGTCCAGAACAGCATTGATGAAAACGTCTGATACGTCCTCCAAACCACTCCGTTTGATGGTCAAGCTCCACAAGCTCACCGCTAAACGATCCCACCCCAGCAGCGTCCTCGGGTCAATATCGACGCATTCCAAGCTCTGCAGGTTCTTGAACGCATAGAGTGGTAAGGCATTATCGTTCGGCGGCTCGTTCGCTAGTTCGGCTATGACCTTCGGACCCGGTGCGGTAAGGCACAAGGCGGGAAGCTTCGTGAACGCACTGTAGATGTACTTGAGCTCCGAGTCGAGCGACGGGGGCTCTGCCCGTCCCCACCACCCAGCACCGAGTGATAGTCGTGAGACAGCTGAGAGCGACGACCTGAAAGACGCAAGGGAGAGTGTCTCCGACTTGTCAGAGTTTGGGAATACATTGATATAGTTCATGGGCCGGCTTGCACCATCCACTTTGACGTCAAGCGAGCCTACATCCAGCCCAATCGCTTCCAGACGGATCAAGATGTAGAACAGGTGGTGAATGTCGAGAGTAAGGACCATCGGCTTCGCCGTCTGCTGAGAGCCATTGCCATCGAGCCCAAGCCAGGTGAGCGGGTTGAGAACGGATGATTCGGACGGACGTGGCGGTCGCCGTCGCAGGGGAAGCCCGCCCTGAGCCAGGTTGAGTTCATGTGTTCTGATGTATTTCGCGATGCGACGCAGGTAGTCGTCGCCGGGCTCGTGTTCCATTGCAAGCGTAGGCGTGCCCCACAGTGCTCTGGCGTTCTGGCAGGACGCCACCCGACCCGAGCGGCGCGTATCCGTGGGTACCGCGTGCAGAACGTGGCTAAGTTCTCGGAAGCAGTCTGGGCGTAGCGTGGCGCAGTGTGGCCCGAGCGAGTGAGAATTATAATTACGCACGAGAAAAGGAAAGAAAGAAATCGTATATTTGCTTCCCGAGAATACAAGATCAGTATCAGACTTACAACGGCCTGTACACCTCGCTAGCAAGGTTCTCTCTCATACCACGCCTCACTAACGTATCCCTTATCCGGCCCACGCACATCATACCCAATCCCAAACTGCCCCACCTCATTTCCCTCAAAACAAAACCTATAAACAGGACTATACACATCCCTTACACAAAGGTGTTCGTTCCCTTTCGCAGTCCACCCGCCTTTGTCCTTATGCTCGTAGAACCACAACCCACTTTCGGAAGAGCCCCCGATGGCAATGTCGTGGAACCAATAATCAATCTCGCCTTCGTTCGGCGCAGAGCCAAACGCACCGCCCTTGACAAACCAAGCGGAGATGACATCTTCGGAGGGGTGGTACCGGTAGACGTATTTCCGATGGGCCTGGAAGGATATCCCCGTCGCCGTAGTGAATGTCCCCGACTCGTGATATAGGTACTCAAGGACCCCTCTTTCCGGCCCGCTGAATATCGCTATGGTGTTGCCCGGAACCTGACAGGCAGCAGGGTCTGCCGGTCGGCCCTTGGTAGAGTCCCCAGGGAGGGCAGACGGAGGTCGCAGGTGGAATGTAGCGGTCCCCTCAAACGTCCCGTCCATTCCACCGGGCATATCATGCCTAATCACCCGGCTGACCTTCCAGCGACCGCTCCAGGACCTGAAGACCGCGCCCAACACCCACGCGCCCTCCTTTGACAGACGCAGAGTCCCAAGAACGTCTTGCTCGATCGCCTCCACATCCCCTGTCCTTTCTCGTGGATAGTTGCACGCAAGCACTTGGTCCGCCACAGCAGGGTCAGCTTCCTTGAACAGGGATAAACCCAGCAACCTCGCGTAGCCCTCGACGAGGCCACCATAGTCGCTATGCGGGAACTGGCGTTTACCGTCCCGCGTGAACTCCCGTACTCGGCGTTCCTTCTCCACGCCCTCTCTCATCTCTGCCTCTCTGGGCCACTCTTTCTCTCCCGCAATGAGCGCAGCGACGTATCGAGCCTGCATCTCTATCACAGCAAAGTACGGCCCGCGATATAGTCCTACGAAGCCAGCTTGCAGGAGGTCTGCATGGAGGACAAGGCGGTGCGTGAGGAACGGGACTGAGAGGTTAGAGGGGTCGTACTCAAGAGCTTCTAGCGCGGAGGGTGGCAGATAGGGAAATTTGGTTGTGTATCCTGTTGCGAATATTATAGCGTCGATAGAGGATATTTCTTCGCCAGTGGATAGATGCAGTGTAGACGTTTCAGCTTGTACAGACTCGAGTTTGGCCAGATGACGATGGATCGCTCCCGCTCGAAGACCCGAGACGTACATATCTGACACACCCACCCGAGGTGGATCATCAAAATTTGACGGGTGAGATAAAGGTGGACACAAGGTGGCCAAGTACTCGTGCTTCTTCCGGTTCATCTCGACCGTCGGCTGCGTCTGCTCCTCCATACTCTTCCGAGTGGAGCGTCGATTGAAGACGACATCTGATGGTAGGAAGAAAGGTTTGTCTTGCAATTCAGCTTTGCTATCCGGAACATATCGCGGGATTGGATAGAAGGGCTGTGGGTGGATGTGGTGAACCTTCGAAGCGTAAGGGGACAGAGCGCCCGCAATTTCTGCAGCAGATAGGGAGCCGCCGATAACGGCTACCTTCCTACCCCGGTAGGTCTCGGCAGCAGGGAAGTTGGCGGAGTGGATCTGAGGGATCTGGGACTCGGCCATCCCTGGTATCGACGGTGTGAAGGGTGTCGAGAAAAATCCGCTCGCAAATATCACGTAGTCAAAGCGTTCGTCTTGGGATCCCGGAGTGACTTCGGTAAGAGTCGATGTTCTGACTATCCAGTTATCTTCTTCGAACTGAACAGTCTCCACTTTCGTCTGGAGTCTGATATCTTCCTTTCGTACATAGCGTTCAGCATAACGATGAAGGTAGTCACCAACGTCCCCAGCATAGGGAAAAATATCCCTTCCTTGGGCGTCGAGCTTGTCCTTTGGCCAAGGGAAATCAGAGAAAGTACAGGTAAGCCGCGAGACATTCGTCGACATCTCAGGCCTGTGGTAAGGGTGGTCCCTTGACCACAAGCCGCCCAGAGAAGCTGACAAGTCAAATATTGTGGGATCTATATTCGGATATGCAGCGAGGTGTCGGTATGCAGCAAGTCCTGCTGTACCTCCGCCTTTCTGTCCGGTCAGTCATGAGGACAAGCACTACGCATCAGGGGAGTAGTACCAATTATCGCGACGCGCTTGCTCCCTGCGGTAGTTGTCATGGCTCTTCGCAGTGCTAGGGAGGCCAGTCCCCCTTGTAAATGTCTAGTTGGATATAGCACTGCGGCGTTAGATGGTGGTTGATGGCAAAGAGCCGCCGGACGACTCGGACTGGGTGGGTGGCTCATGAGAACTTTGTAAAGTCACGTGCACTGGGAGATGCGATCTCAGATAAGATCGATATGAGTGGCGATGCAGCTTCTCATCATGGAGATCTGATCGAAGATCTGTTTGTGGATCCGGCTTTCAAACTTCAAGAGGGGGGAGTATTAGGAAGCCGACTTGGCCAGCCGTGTACAACCGCTCGCACATAATAAATACAGGGAGGCCAATAGGCAATGTGTTTGGTTCATGAACCCACATTATCATCCCTGAGCAACTGATCTTTCGACAGCCGGAGCAGGACTCGCAAATGCCCCCCTCCTCGTTCGCCGTACAAGAACCCAGATAAACTGCCAAATAATACCAACATACGGTGCAAAGAGCGGGAGAAAGGCAGACACGATGGTCACGACGGCGAGTTTCCGTGACGCAAAGCAGCGAAGAACGCTGACGCACGTCAGCACTGAAACTGCGATATCCGGGAGAGCCGACAGAATAATGAACACCGGATACGTGACAATATTCACGCGTCGCTGTACTTCATATAAGCATGAACTTGTCTGTTCCTTCAACGGCAGAGGCTCACCTCAAATTCCGTCCTGCCGAGGCCGGTGAAAGACCATCGCAGAGCTACGATGTAGAGGATGGCGAGGAACGCAAACGCTTTCGTAACAGTCTCTTGCAGTACCACCTCAACACTGAGCACCAGTCAATACGGGGTAAAGTCGTTTGAAACTCGAACAGCTCACCCAAGAAACGCGAGAAGCTGTCCGTTGTGTACGTCAGTCATTCGTGGTCGCGGCACGGAGAAAAAAAAGGAAAGACTTACAACAGTCAACGTCACTTTGGTGGTGTCCGCCAGACTGCGCTGAAGGACGTCATAGTCGTCACAGTGCAGAGATCCCCAGGATGCCATCGACGGCAGCGCGTCTATGAGCGGCATGACGGATCTGGAAACGGGCAAAATCATCGTGGTATTGCGACTCCAAGTACCGGCGCGCTCGAGGTTATCGTTCAATAAACTTGACATAGTGTGCTAGGCGCGGGCAGCGGGGAAAAGGGCGGGCGCGAGTGAGATGGGGTAAAAATCTGGACTGCAGGAGGCCTGCAGTTAACCATTATTTATGAGATTCTCGAGAGCTTCTCCCCGGATAAGTCTGAAGGTGATGGAGATTCCAGACCTTCACGTAAGGCCCCTGCAGCGCGGTTCCTCTAAACGGGTGAGAAATGCTGTCCAGCGAGTTCCGGGGCTCCCCGCACTCCTTGGTTGTAATTCGAGATCCCCCGCAGCCAATCAGGTACCAGGATGGGTCCCAACAATGAGTTGAGTGATCCTCCACGGCCCGACAAAGCTGCTGCTGTTCCTATACCTCGCGTTAAGGATGGAGTAACCTGGGTTGCGAAAGCCCGACTGAACCTTAAACAATTACCACGCAAGGACGAGCGGCTCTGCCTGGTCGACAGCGCTCGTGCATTATGGGTCGTTCTGACTGCGTTGCCATTGGCTGAAGCGCGGACCTAAATAAAGCGCCGAGTACCGGGCACAAGTACACCAGTCAGCGACAAGCGCTAAGGCGAGGCTAGACCTCACCCACTAAAAGCGTAACGATCCGGAGATAAGCTGCGAAAGCGCGGGCGCGCACAACGCCTCATTGGACTTGTGGATCTACGGAAGAAATTTGAGGTCAGCGGAGCTATGCATGTTTTGTCGAACGCGACCGTCGGGCCGCGGATAATTTTGCGCTTTTGTTGCATTGACCGCCGGCGCTTCAGACAGTGGATAAGGAAAGTTCCTGGCTGGATGCATACGAGCCTGAGCATACCTATGACAATACACTCTGAGCATCAAATAACCGCCAATGGCGGCGGAAGGCAACGATATTTGGGCCCAGCCCTCTGCCTAGGCGAAACGTAGGCATAGCAAATACCGCAAAAAGGATAGACGTTACATGAGAACTGGGTTTCTCGACATCCAGGCCTGTAGCGGCGAATAGGAAAGAACGGTTAACATCCCTGAGGTCGAATGGAAGCAGCGCGATATACAACTTATTGCCTGGCAACACCAAGCGCCTACCGTATAGCGGTATTGAGGCCGAGTCTGGACCGTAGGGTGGAAGGAGCCAATCGCAGGCGTCACCGCCTCCGGAACTTGCGATTGGTACGTTGATTGGCAATGGTACAGGCTGTTTGCGCCGTGGAAGAAGACTGTATGACTCAACATAGGAGTCCAAGTATACTTAACATCAATCCACCCGTTTTTGGCAGGGGTATTTGCTGCCAGCATGAACTGCTGTGAATGCGCTTTCCGCCAGGGAAGTCAATCGACAGGTCTCGGCCAAGTGACGGCATCCCACAGTGCGGGCTGGCACCAAGAACGCGGGATGATACTAGTGCGCGTATGGAGTGATTGCTGCACTTCGATGCCAGCCAACCAGGGACACGCCGGCGGGTAGAATGTGATGCGCACAGTGCGCCTCGGCCTCCCTGGTTCAGTGAGATCTTGACGCGTCCTTCGAATTCGGGAACCAATCATTCAATCAAGGACTGCACAGAGGAACCGTAGGCAGGCCCGGCAGGGTCCAGCACGAGTAAACATGGATGGTTAAGGAATTGCGTGGTCGCTGCTTTTTGGAGCCTAGCCAGCCAGGGTCGCTCGAGCGCGCGGGATCCAATTGCATCCTTCCCTGGCGGAGAGACACACAGCACTGCGCCTGGACCTCCTGCCATTGAGGCCCTATCCGGATACATGAACCAATCGACGGTCGCCTAGGGAAAGATTATAATATTCAGGAACGGCCGACACATATCGTACACGAGAGATGCCCAACATCACAGAACCAAACCACCGCTAAGCACAATGCGCCGATAACAATCGTTCAAAACAGCACTCATCTCATCTCATAGCCCTCACGACCACCCAGAAACGAGCCATGACTCATACCGCAGCGCGACCGCCGTATCCGCGTCCCCCTCCGCCTTACGCTGCTCCAGCGTGAACGCGAGCTGCGTGAGCGCCTTCGAGCACGTGCGGTGCTCCCTTGGAGCCGCGATGAACGCCTGTCGATGAACCAATATCGCCTCTAACAATGAGGACGGCGTCGTCGCGCCCGTGTGCCAGTCGATGTGCGTCTGTATTGTTTGGAGCGCGGTGCAGCCGAGGCTGGCGTCGTGGTAGATGGGCGGGGCGGAGAGCGGGATCGCGGCGGGGATGGCGCAGGAGAGGCGCTTCGCGGGGGTGGAGGACTGGCTATCGTAGCCCGAGTCCATCGTTGCCGTGTCTGACATTTCGGAGTCGCTGCTCTCGTCGGGAGGGATTTGGGTCTTGGGCATGCGATCAGTTTGATGTTCGGTCTGGGATGTATGTACGGCACTCACGAATGTCGATGTCGACGGCGCTTGCTCTGAGGCCCCTCTCAGCGATAGCGCACCGAACATGCCACAGATGTTATCCGCATCGGTCTACGGAAACGAAAGACGTCAGTACGAATTACCGACCGCACGGTCCATCAGTCTCACATTGTAGTACCCAGCAGACCCCGTCGAGTATTGCGCTTGCATAGCTGGAATATTTCAGAATGCTTGGTCGAGCTTGAAGAACCGGGCAAAGAGGTGGCAAGAGTCAAGACAAGTGCGTCGCTCCACGGCTCCTTTCATACGCAGCAGGATCCGGCTGGATCAGCATCCGACACGTTGTTGGTGCGTTGTAGGCGTGCGCACGGGGCCAGTTTCTATACATCGCGGCATCGATATCCACTTGGATGTGAAGGATTTGGCCGGAAAGGACAAGACGCAGATCGATTGCTGATCTCCTTGCGTTCGGATAGCTGAAAGGCGCAAGAGCCGTACGTATCGTATGTCATGGCGACCGTCGGCGCGAGTAAGCAGAATAAAGCAGAATAAAGCAGGGGAGATAGTACTGTAACAGGTTGATGGCCGAACAAGTGAAAGTTGCACATAGTTTGAATCCGGACCAACCCTTCCTACAGTACCTGCTGCAATTTGTCCTTCAATCTTCCTCTCCTAGATACTTCAACTTGTCCTGGCTTTCATTCACGTATTTAGAAAGGATATGCACCAGATTACCGTGCAAGTGGAGATACCGCGACCATTGATTTCTCAAAACGATCTGCAACGACGTTTGTTACCGCCCTCGAAATACTGGAGGACCCTACTAGTGCTCAGCATCCTGCCGATAAACCAGAGTCATCACTTCGTAAAGAAAACCCTCCAACCATGTCCTCCCTCTCGCCCGAGCAACTCGACAAATACCTCACCCACATCTCCCTTCCCGAGCAATACCGTCAAGCCTCTCCGAGCCTCGACCTCCTCAAAGCGCTGCAGACCTCCCACATCGGGGCGATCCCCTTCGAGAACCTCGGGCTACACTACACCAAGGACCCAAAGATCTCCCTGGACGTGCAGGACCTCTTCCGCAAGATGACGCGCAACGGGCGCGGCGGGTATTGCATGGAGAACAACACGCTCTTCAACCACGTCCTCCGTGCGCTCGGGTTCCAGGTTTACCAGACGGGCGCGCGGGTGATCAACATGCGCGACCAGAGCGGGCGGGAGCCCTGCTTCTGGGGATGGTGCGTCTACATATAACGATGGCCAACAGATCCCACACCGCTTGTTTGACGTCTGACAGCTACGATAACTGACTCGGCGCATCAGGGGACACGCGGTGAACATCGTCACCCTCCCGGACGGCACTCGCTACATGGCCGACGTCGGCTTCGGCGGCGACGGACCCCGCGAGCCGCTCCCGCTCGTCAGTGGGCACGTCACGCGGAACATAGGCACGCAGGACGTGCGCCTCGTCTACGACACCATCCCCGACGTCTCCCAGCGCGACCAGAAGCTCTGGATCTACCAGTACCGCAACGCCCCCGAGCAGGCGTGGCGCGCTCTCTACTGCTTCCCCGACGCGCTCGAGTTCCTCGACGCGGACTTTGCCGTAATGAACTACGCGACGAGCCATAACCCCGAGAGTTTCTTCACGTTTGAGATTCTGGTGGTCAAGTTCCTGCGAAGGGAGGGGGAGGTGTACGGTAAGGTCATGCTGGTGAACGATGTGCTGAAGCGGAATTTACGAGGGAAGACGGAGGTGGTGAAGACGTGCCAGACGGAAGAAGAGAGAGTGACGGTGCTGCGAGTGTATTTCGGGATTCATCTTTCTGAAGAGGAGAAGAACGGGATTCGTGGTCGAGTAACAGAGTTACGCCCAGAGAACTAATTAACAGCATGCACCCCACGGCGTATCCGATTGCTTGTTCGTCGTGGTATCGGTTTCGCTCGCAACGAATACAGCCCCTTTGCCTTCAAATACAATAAGACATCCAAGCTTGAGAGCTCAGCATACGGTGTTGCGGCCTCGGAACCGGTATGTGCACAGCAATCCAAATGTGTGCTGGCAATACGACTCGTATCCGCAGTTCCGACGAGAAAAGAATCGGTCGTATGATACTACTACGCTCGAGTCTCCCAACCCATACCTCCCACGACCCATACCTCCCTCCCATGACCCATACCTCCCATGACCCATAATCCCATACATAGTTGGCGATCGGTCGGCGAAATAAGATCAACCCGCTGATGGTACGAAGTCTCCCTGTAGTTGGTATGGGCGAGGCTTAGTAGAGTGTAGCTGCATACTCCAGCTCGCCGATCCTTGAGCAAACTCGCACCGCGTCTGTGGTGCGATGGAGACTCCCGCTATGCGAAATTTCATCAGCGACTAATCCATAAAATCACTGGTATATACTCTAGCAGATACACTCTAGTACATTATTTGTGGCTTTAGAGTATCTAATGGAACCCCATTTGTGGCTGTAGAGTACTTGACGGAACACACGGCTCGGGATCGGAGTTGATTAATATAAGGTGTCGTATAAGAGGATAGGCATAAAAACGGCTGTCGAAATTCATATAGAGATTATCCGCTACAACCTCAGCGATACCTCAGCGATGCCTCGCGAGCGTGGGCCCAATGCCGCCAGCAGAAGTCTTGAGCTTGATGCCTACTTCAAGCTTCTCTTACCTGTGGTGAGCGTCGCAAACTCAGTCGAAGACAGCAAGACATGATGATATGCTGCAGCTGGCTAGTTACCTTGGGTGAATAGGATGTCTCGTCCAAGACGGACGAAACACTGACCACTGCCAAGAGTTGCCATGGTGGTAGACCATTTACCAAGCCGCGTCATGATATGCATTGCGATATTATGCACAGTTACGCTTCACCTTTGCCACTTCGTGCAGGCGCATGAACCCAACACGGTGGGTCAAAGAAAATTCCTCTGATGGTTCAATCAGCTACTCATCAACAGTAATAAATAAACAGACACAAGAGACACCATGTCAAGTGATCGTGCTTACCACGGTCTACACTATGCCATCTCTCAGCATCATAGCTGTGACGTGCAAGATCCTACTGAACTCAATGAACACGCTGGAAGCTTGCCTGTGGATTACCGTGGCAACAGTTACACCGGCGCTCGCTTTAGCATTTAGTTTATGGGCTAAGAAAAAGTAAATAAGTTGCGGGTGAGGAACAGAGGGCATAGATGTCGCTAACAGCCTGAGTGTGAAGTACGTTATCTCAGATTCGACCCCCGTCGATTGCCCATGGGGCTGTGCTGCATCCCATTTCCGGTATCCCAAAAAGATGCCGGTGGGTCGCACGCAATGTACATATCGCGGAAATATGGAGGGCAAGTCGAAAGATATAGCTGCACATGTAGTAACAGTCATTACAAGATCGTCCAAGCGAGGAATTGCAGAGTTCGGCAAAACCAGAGAGCAACAGACAACAGAAGAGCGCGTGATAGCATAGCGTTCATAAAACCTCATGCAACGTCTAAAACCCGAAGGAAAAAGCAGATCTATCGCCCCCTTTGAAAAAACCCCGTCTCCGAGGCTTTAACTCGTACTTATCAAGGCCAACGCTTGCCAAAAGAGCAGCATCATCGTCATCATGCAAGTCTTTCACAACGGAATACTCTGCCTCACGGTGCTTGCGCTTCTTCCACCATATCCTATGGATCAAAGTTAGCCGCTGGGAGTCGCACAGTAAGCGGAACGTTAAGACGCACAAAAAGGTGACAAGCAGCGCGATAGCGACGAACAGTCCCACAAAACCCCCAATCAACGCTGCCTTGTTCTTCGCAAAGAACGACAGCGCCCCGCTCACGCCCTGCGGATCCGGGTCGACGAAGGCAAACTGCCGTCCCGGGAGCTCGTTCTGGCTCGGCGGGTTCCACGGATCGAAGCAGTACTGCGCGAAGCACTGGCTGCACACGTCCGAGCGCGGCGGCATCGGCGAGAGCTTATACCGTGCGCGGTCGACCGCCGCGCATTGCAGGCACTTGCCGAAGTTTGGGTCGGGCGAGGTCGTGTTGGGGAGGAAGCCGCCGATGGTGTTATTGTGCACCTGGTCGATGAAGATGCGGGTGTGAATGGGTGTGTAGGCGATTTGGAACGTGCCGGTACTGAGAAAATGCCTGTCAGCTTGCGCTCATGGGGGACAACGAGAAACATCGACGCACTTGGTGACTGGGTTCTCCCCATTGAGAGGCGGCGAGTTTGGGAAGTATATGACCATGGGATACTCGGGTGGATTCTGGGTCGGGTTGCAGCCGAAGAAAGTGGGTCTACGATTCACCCCTGTCGATATGAAGTCGGCAGGAGTCTGAGGGATAGGTGGAAACTTTTGATGAGAGGCCAACAATATTGTCGACATCCTGTTCGAACTCGCTACTATCGAGGATCCACTAGTGAAAGAGTCTTTTGTAAACTTAATTTGTGTGAGAATACTGACGTATGCACGTACTTGGGCCATAAAGTGGTTGATTGGTCAGCGCTGGAATCGACCGCTACGATCACATCCAGCCCTCTAGCACGAACGAATAGTTGTCCGAGCGGCACATTCTCCGCGTTCGAACTTCCGTCAATGAGCTCCAACCAATCGGAACTAGAGTCTTCGAATGTCTGCGATTTCAACCCTTGGAACGGCTGTAGCAGCACATTATTAGCTATTCACAACACGAAACCAGCTTAAAGTTTCATATGCTTACGTTGGGCCAATTAGCAACATCATTAGCTCTCGTTCGAACCTCCTGCAGTTGCCGACTCAACACATACAGCAGCCCCGACGCATCTTGCGAGGAGAATCCCGTCAAAGTATTAGTGCCAAAATCTAGGATTTGCTAGAATGAGGAGTCAAGCCCAGGATTTTCTGCACTCAGGATTGTATTCCTCACATTGAACAGACTCGCGCTACTCCCCATGATGAAGCCAGCTTGATCGAATCCGGTAACGCACGCCGTATCATTGGGCGGCGTGCCGTTGACGAAGTGGGTGCCGGCGAAAGACATGTTAACCATGGCGGATAGGTTAGGGTCCCAGGAACCGAACTCGAGCGGGGTCATCTGCGAAGCCGTTGAAATATTAACCGCGCGAAGTCTTCATCTGGTAAACTGGTACTGACCTCATATACGACCGGCTCTGGCGTCAAGGCGGTTGTGAGATTAGATCCCACGGGCCGCGAATCGGACATGACGATGGGGAACGGAGGGATGTACTGCTGGAACGCGGGTGTCTCTGGGATCTGGGACCACAGTTGGCCTGCGCCATGCGCGCTATCGTTGGTGAAGAAGTTCGACCGGGTCGTCTGGTTAAGGAAGTGATACGATATCATGCGCGCCCAGGGATCCGTTATCGAGGTATCTCTGTGGCGCACGGACAGCGTTTAGGCATGCGGAATACAGGAGAGTAAGTGGGGTAACGCACATCCCCTTGTACGCCTTTGCTTCGACGCTCCATACTAGACTACCGAAGAAGTACTGGTTGTCTTGGTTGAAGAGGTCGATGCCAGCGGGCGCTGCCAGGTTCAGATCCAGAAGCCAGCCGGATAGATTCCCTCCGTTTCCAAACACCATATCCTTGATTGTCAGCCAGTTATTCATATACAGCGATCCAGTGATCCACGAGCCGCCTGTGCATAGAGCTCAAACTTCAATATTTGACTCAGATACGAATCGGACAGGCAGGGACGGACCTGACAGCCCGGAGAGATAGCTCGCCACCTGCAATAAGCCCCCCGTCCCCGCCGCCTTCGCGCTCTCATTCCTCGCATCCAGGCCACTCAACACGCCCGCCCCATACTGCGCCGCCCGAAACCCTCCCCCACTAATCGCTATGCCGATCCTACTCCAATTCCCCTGCATAGCCTGCACCACGCTTGCATTGTACCCAATCCCCGACCCGTCGCCTATCCACTCCTTCCACGCATCCGGGAGGATGGTGCTCTCGCGCGTGCTGATATACGCCTGCTCCTGCGGGTGCAGCGACTGGTTCTGCGGCGTGAACACGCGCACCAGGGGCGCCGCGGGGCACTTCACGTTCGTCGTCGGCGCATAGTCGGTCACCGAGCCCTGGGCGGCGGCGCCGTCGAAGAGACCGAAGGTGAGGGCGAGCAATGGTAATGGGAGCAGCATCTCCGTTGCCGCCCACACCTCCGGTCGCCTGCTTTTCTATAGCACAATAAATGCCTTCTGTTGACATGCTATCCATTGTGGGCTGTGTCTCATCGTGTTCGCGCAGCCCGATCAGTGAAGAAGAATAGAAAGGTGAGACGGATGCTGTAACAAGACACGCGTCTTCCCACAAGCAATACCGCCTCGGCTATTATTTGAATACGCGGCGCTGCATGCACAGGCAAATACGAGTAGCTACATGACCAGAACAGAACGGAAGAGTACTCCAGAATATCACAGTCGAAGAAGCAGAAAGGGGAAACTGCAAGAAGGAAAATAGCTACAAGTCGCTCCTACTTCTACAATTGACCTTTTGGCATCACCATTTAATCTTCATTCCCATTCTCGAACAAATAATTGGCAGCGAGCTCCTCGTTCTTGTCGCAAGCGAAATACGCCTCAAGCACGATGTGCCTTGGGAAACCCAGCGCCTCGAGCTGTCGAGTCGAATCGAGACATCAGCTCAGCATCCTGATCACCCCTTACTCTCAAAATAGCCCACTCACCCGCTCAATAGCAGCGCGCTCCTCCTCCGTCACCTGCACGACATGCGTGGCGGGACCGCCTTCGCCGCCCTCACCGTCACCTGCACCAAGCAGCTGATACAGCGCCTCGGGATTGCTCGCGAGTATCTGCGCGAGCTGCGGGTTCGCCTCGGCCAGCTGCTGCAGGAGCGGCTGGAGCAACGCCGGGTTCTGCGCGACCAGCTCGCGCAGTTGGGCGACCTGGGGCAGGTCCCGGAGGGCCGCGAGGTCGAAGATTTGACCCGCCCCACCTGCACCGGCTCCGGCGCCGCCACCTTGCTGCAGCTGCTGTTGCTGCTGCTGGGCGAGCTGAAGACCGGAAATGAGCATGCTATTGAGATGGTAGGCGAGATTGCTTACCTGGAACAGATTTTGAGGTCCAGTGTTCGCTGCCGCTGGAGCAGGCTGGGCAGCCGGAGCCGCACCAGCACCAGCAGCCGGCGCGGCCGCGCGCGGTGCAGCACCACCAGCAGGTTGTTCAGACGCCGCCCGCTCCTCAAGATGAGAGGGGATACCCTAGACAGAGAGACACCCTCAACAATACGATGACCCAAGAACCAGGCAGCCACGTACAGTCATGAGATACTCCACGGCACGATCTGGGTTGTTGAAGCTTGCGCGCATGGCGCGCATCACCTGTTCACGCTCGAAGCCCATCTCGATCATGTTGTTGATACTGCTCTGGAGGGCCTCTCCCGTCAGGAAAGAGCTCGCATCGCCGAAGGCGGGGGCCGCGGCGGGCTGGGAGGGCGCGGAGGCAGCGGGTGCGGGTGACGGCGCCGCTGGTGCCGCGACGGGGGCAGCAGGCTGGGCAGCAGGGGCAGGTGCAGCAGCAGGAGCGGGGGCGGGGGCGGGAGTAGAAGAGGTAGATGTACTTGTTGACGAGGTAGCTGCGGGCGTGGGTTTCGGCTACAAATGTGTGAAGCCTCGATCTACGTTTAGGACATGTGCACGTACCTTTGCGACCATGAGCACCAAGAAATCCTTCTCCTTGATTTCACATGATTCAATCGTCTTTGAATCCGGCAATACCTTCCCTGCAGATCCGATGAGCTGCGAAAAAGGTATCGCCCGCATACATACACACCTGAATAAATGAGTTTCTGGCTCTCGACAGAGTGGCCCTGGCTCTCTAAGACCTTCTTCTTCAGGTCTCCGACCGTCTCCGACGGCTCAGCATCGACCTAGCAGCAGATCCCCCGTTAGCATACTTGCACTTGCTCCCTTCTTTCGCCCTACAACGCACCTGGAACACCTTCTGCTGCAACGTCTTGATCGTGATTTTCATGATGACCGTCCGAGGAGAAGCTGCGTTCGCTGTTGAAATCGCGCGGCAGCAGAAGAAAAATAGGATGCCTTACCGATGAAAGTGGCGGAGAGAACGCGTACGCCCCCAAGCTCTCTCCAATCGAAGACCAAGATGTGGCTGTACCGGCACGTGGATCCCGGTCCCGGACTCGGCAACAGCCGCTCGCGCCACACTGGCACTGACGGGGGGGAAAGCTTCGACTCAGCTTGACCTTGTCAAGGCTGGCTTCTCTCGGTAAAAACAGTCCTAACCACTTGATTCATATCACCCAAATATGACATTAATTGGCATTTTTGTTTTCGGATTGAGCCTGAACATGAGTCACTATCATCTGTGATGGACTTGTACAAGGACAGATGTCGCGCTATACAAGCCATGGTATCGACTGGTTTTTCTGGGGGATACAATCCTCGGGGAGAACTATCAGAGGCAATACACCGCTTCTGGCTCTCGAAGACAATAATCCTTAACCTCCCTCCCTAGGATCTTCCTCTGGAACGCTACTCAAACGTGGCGGCTGCTTTCAAATGGTACCATACATCAATAGATAGCGGACACATCCTGTTTGACTCAGGTATGGCCGAACAATAAGCGGGCCCGCCTGTATTGACAGTGGCAGGAACCTGAAGTCACCGAAGAGCACTTAGAGGGTCGCTTCGGGCCAGAAGGCTTTTAGGGTTGGGCAATCCCGATTCTGTATGACCAACCGGATTCAGGACTCCCTGATGGTCGATCGATTGTCCGACTCGTGGTCGGAAATGGAGATCAAGATCCACTTGCGTCCTTCATGAGCGTAGATAGGGTAGACCGTGCCAAATGTCACATTTGCCAGTTTATTCTCCTGCAAGGCCAACCTTAAGGACAGGTACGTGAGCGACCCGAGTACCAAGAAACACTGATCCAAACGAAGACCTACGCATCTTCCAACTCCGCGCGATTGCCCGGGGAGATGGCTTTGCGGAAGAACTGAGTATTCTGTATCGCCAATCATAGAAAACAAACATGAAGGATACGTTAGGTCGACAATATACCAAGGACACGGACGTACAGGGATGTCTGCGCCTTTCGGCTTGAGCGCTTCATATCCTCCAAATCCAGTTTCGCGAGAAACCACTATGAAATCGTCATGATGAGGATTATCCCAGTCCATTGATTGCGGCAGCGTGGATAGACTCTGTGCTCTCGGGTCCTGCTTGATAGAGCGTCGCGGGTCAGAGGTGTGGCGCGGAGTTCGGTCTGCCGACTGCGCCCGTTCTGATTGGCTGGGACTTGGCCGCGGAGTGGTACTGGAACTTCGCAGTAATCGCATCCTGACTCGGTTCCTCCCTCCCCCGATGCCTGCCCTTCATAGAGGCTCCCATAAGTACTAGCAGTAGAAACACAGCAGGGAAGAAAATATGGGCAGGAAATCCGCATCGCAGCCTCCAGTTTCCCTCGTCCTCCCCTCACTGTACCTCGGCCCCTGCTCAGCAGCCTCCTCCCAGCCCTTCCTCTCCTCGCACTCCATAACCCACGTCCTCAGCGTCGGCTCCAGCCCTTCCCAAAAACTCGACGGTGTCACCTACCACCGCATTTCCCTCTCCGACTCGCCCTCCTCCTCCATCACCAAGGTCTGCGACAGCGCTTGCACGATTATCGACTCGGCCCTCCAATCCAAGAACGGCGCCGGAAAGATATTAATCCACTGCTCGGCGGGCATCTCGCGCTCGCCCATGGTAGTCGCGGCGTACCTGATGAAGCGCCGCGGCATGACGCTTAAAGCTGCTTTGAAGCAGATCATCCAGGTCCGCCCGCAGATCTCGCCCAATCCTGGCTTCCTCGCGCAGCTCAAGGAGCTCGAGATGGAGCTCTTTGGGACCGTGTCACTTGACATAGACGAACTACCGAAGCGCGAGAAGGACCGCCTGGCGCTGCTCGCAGACGACGCCACACCTGCTACCGGTGGAGGATGAGGTGTGCTTCGGAGTGAGCGCCCTCGACTAATCTCCAAGAAAGCTGTTGCTGATGTAGAGATGCTCGGACGCTTTCATCAAGTCTCTTCTATAGGCCATAGATGTGCTTCTGAGGAATTGCCACATCCTTACGATGCCCATTCGGCGTCGTACCTTGAATTCGCACACCGGTCTGGCCCAACGGCAGAGTGATAACAATCGATGAACAACCCGCCGGTTGCGGACACCAGTCCGATGTTCCGAATATAGGCTCATCAACCTCGCATGTCGAAACGCATATTTCCTAGTCGCAACTGTAAGGCTTCGGCTGTGGTAAGGGCTCCACTCACGAACTCTGCTCCAAACGACCAAGTAGTCTGTACAATACAACCAAACAGGGTGTGGTATATATACGATAGATGAACACCGAATAAAATAACACCAGCGATGTGTCCACCCATGGCAATCTACATCAGCTCATCGATTGTCATATCCCCTTCCCTCACCCACTCCACCTCACCGGAGCTTCCCATCTTCCCTCCTGCCTTTCCACCCTTCTGCGACTGCACCATCAAGCGCTTCGCGTTGACGTTCATATTCTGCGACGCCAGCGGCGCGCGCCCGACCCGTGTAATCGCCGTCCGCGGTTTAGCGTCGATAGGTACCATAACGGATTTGTACATGTCAAGCTCGTTGCGCAGGTCCTCGTTGTCAGCCATGGCGGCTTCGTGGTCCCGGGTAGACAGGAGCAATTTCTGTTATAGCAAATGGGTGAGTACAATACCCATGCCGAGCCGAAGCACATAACATCGGACGAAACATACCTGCTTCGTCTCCGCCAACTCCCTCCGTATCCGGTCTACGTACATAATCCTCTGCGCAGGGTTCCTATGGCCAAGTATCTCAGCATTGAACCGGCTGAGGCGGTCCGCCTCCTCCTCCGCGAGTTGGTTCCGCGCGACCAGCGCCCCTGCCTCTTCGAGAAGCTGGTCGTACGCCTCCTGATACTGCTCGGCTTGTGCCAGCTCCGAGGACATCCTGCACGTAAAGGCTGCAAGTCAGTAACGCCATGAAAAAAAAATCCAGGAAGGGAAGTGCAAGACTGACTGCTCGACCTCGGCCTGCAGCGCCTGCTCCGCTAACTGAGCCTGCTGCAACGCGACCGCGAGCCGCTGGGCCGCTTCTTTCTCCACCGAGACGCGCTTCTCCGTCTCTGCGATCTTGGCTTTCATCTCCGCCCCCCTTTTCTCGAGCTCCTGTTGTGCTGCCTCTTCGCTCGCCCTGAGCTCATCGAGACAGGTCTTCAGGCGGGTTACATCCTCCTGCGCCATGGCGTGTTCTTTACGGAGCGCGTCCAGCTCGGTATCAAGTCGTCCTCGGGCTTCGGTGGCGGCAGAGAGCTGGGTCTGCAGCTGCTGAGTTGCCGCTCGCTGTTCGGCGAGATCGCTGTCCGAAGTAGAGAATGCCTCGACAAGGTCGTGCACCATCTCCTTGTACAGGTCGCAGAAGTGCCTGTCTGTCGCCGAGCAGATGCGAAGTGCCTCCTTCTCATCGTCCTGTAGGGCGAAGACAGCGGCCCGAACGTCGTCCTCCAGTCGTTCATCCGATATCGGACAACGTGAGGATGAGTTCCACTCTTGCAGCAGCTGCGCATACAGGGCAGCCTCCTTTTCGATATCCCGGAGGTACGTCGAGAGGAACATGTTGTTTTCCTTCGTATACCGAACCAAGTTGGCGAGTTCAACCACTTGCGCCTCCGAATTCGCAAGCTTGCGCTCCAGGCGCGCGGCGCGGATCTGCAGTGACGCGTGTTCGTGCTTCAGCTTGTCGTGCTCAGATCGGTGCACGGTCGACGACGCCAGCCGCCCATACTCCGCCGCGACGCGGGACAACAGCAGCGTCGTCTGCTCTAACCTCTGGCACAGGTTCTCCTGTTCGTCTTCAGCCTCGCCCAGCGCCGCATCCTTCTGCAGGCACTCCGACTGCGCGAGATTCAGCTCGTCCTGCAGTTTCGACACCTGCGCGCGCACTTCGTCGATACGCGCGTCGACCTTGCTCTTCGCCTCCTGCGCCTTCGCCTCCGCCGCCTCCCGCTTCTTCCTCTCCATGGACAGACTACGCTCCAGGTCCGCGATCGTCCTGTCCCGCTGGCGCACCTCGTCCTTCCTCCGCGTCTCCAGCACGTGCAGTGCCTTTTGCGCCTCGCTGGCGTCCCCCTGCTTCGCGGTGAGCTGGTTGCGCTCGTGTTCGGCCACGCGCAGCTTCGCGCGGAGGTCTTTGATCTCGGACTGCTGGCTTGCTTGGGATTTCTTGGATTCCTGCAGTCGGGCGTCGAGGGCGTCGTTCTGCTTCTTCAGCTTGTCGAGCCTCTCGCTCTGCTCCGCGTTCGTCTTCTGACATCGACTGAGCTCCAGCTTGAGTCGCTCTACCTCTGCTTGATGCTACTCTCATTCATGGTACACTTCGATACGGCAGGCAATAGGGATGATAGGAGCACTCACTGCCTTCTTGGAATCTGCATGTACACCCTCGAGATGCTCGAGCTTGCGTTGGAGTGTGGCATACTTGTCAACCTGCGTTGCGTTCTTCACTCCATTCGCAGGCTGCTTCGAGCCCGTCGTCTTCTCAGTAGCATACGCCCCTGGCCCTGTCCATCATGTATAAGCACGATCTTCCGCCCAGTACCTGCATGCGTGACTCTACCAGGAACGCCAGACGGCTTGTCTTTATCGAATCGGTCCGTCTTCTCAAGAAACGCTCCGCGTTTATACGCCTCAGTAATCTCTGCCAACAAGTCAGCCACAAGATAGGCACCCCAAACCAGTTTGTATGCACCTAGATTGGGGTTATACGCCCCGGGACCAGGGACGTCAGGCACTTCAAATGAGCGTCAGAACGAAGGCTCAAGAGACACCAGAGCACGGCACACCCACCTTTCTCCGGCACAAATCGGGGCCCTCGCGGAAACATAATAGGTACAGGCGTTTTACTGACGCCACAGTTCGTGGACAGATGGTTGTTCGTAAGTGAGCGAGACGCGATCGAGAACTTGAACGCGTCAGGGTCACGTGATCATGACTTCCTAATCCAGATGTTCTCCTCCTCCCTTCGATGTTGAATTACACTGTACGCGCTCTATTCCACAACATACCAACCATCGACAACCCATTATTTATACGTTACCGAATCGTACGAAACGTCGTGACATACATTCTCCGATAGTCTAGTGACAGTAGTGATACACGGACTACTACCCGAGACATCGTATATTATATCGTAAGCCCAAATCGACAATGTGCATAACTAGTACAGCCCGTGAGGAAACTGAGGGGTGGACGGGACAACCAAGTCCAAGCAGTCCAATGCATGCGTGCAGCCCGAGTTCGGTCTATGATCATGCGGCGGGCAACGCCTCCTTCTCCAGGACGGGCCGGATGTGCCCCTCGTCGTCCATCCGAGCGCTGGTAGTGTGGGATCGGATATCAGCCATGCAGAAGGACGGAACGAGGCAGACGGGGGACTCACATCGTTTCGTCGGCGATATCGGTGTGCTCCTTGACGCGCATCTGGATCATGGGCAGCGCGAAGAAGAGGCCGGCGACGAGGAGCACCCAGGTGGAGATGAAGATGTTCATGTACGGGAGCTTCACGCCGTCGCCGCGCCAGATACCAGCCGCACCCGCGCTCTGCAGCGCCTTGTCTGCATACACACACAAATCAGTCAGCTGGTCAAAATCCACGGTGATAGAAGCGGGACCCACAGAAGCCGGTGAAGTACGCGAGCTTGGCGGGGTCGTTCGACATGGCGCCCATGAGCCAGTACACAGTCGTCTGCCACATCGCGTCGAGCAGGCCGCAGAAGATGTACAGCCAGATCCGGCTCGGGTACTTCGAGTCCGAAAAGTCGATCAGCGGCAGCCCGTTCGCGAGGTCCGCGCGCGTGTAGTCCCTGCAAACACATTAGCTTCCCACACCACCACACGCGGGGGGGGGGGTCAACGCACTTTTGGTAGAAGTACGCCCAGATGTGCACGACGAAGACGAAGACGAGGAGGATGGCCCAGCCCGCGTACGCGCGGAAGCGGCGCGTGAGGCGCTGGCGGTCGAGCAGGAGCCCGATCGCGACGGACCCAAAGATCTGCGCGAGGTAGTACACGAACGAGTTGAGCGAGCGCGTGCGGATGTTGAACAGCGCGCCGTTGTAGTCGTTGAACTCTGCACAACCCCTTCAGCACGCGCGGGCAGGAAACATGCGAAAGGGACGCTCACGCCAGGTGTAGAACCAGTTGCTCGCGAAGAACATGGGGAAGAGCAGGATGATGAACGGGTCCGTGCGCAGCGCGACCCACAGGCCGATGATCTCCGTCTTCCACGACGGGTGGCGGACCTTCGTCACGCGCGTCCCGTCCGAGCGGATCATCTTGTTCGGGTTCGCCATGAACAGCGGGATGGTCACGCCAATGACGTTCAGGACCAGGAAGGCGATGTACGTGCCGTTGTTCACGCTGCCGGCCTGCAACAGGCGAATCAGCATGTGACGAGCGGCAGAGCGGGATGCACTGCGGGGAGACGCACCGAGGAGTGGTAGTTCTGCCCGAACGACACCGCGTCGCCAATGACGGCGCCCATGTTGAAGATGGCCCAGAAGATACCAATGAACTGACCCTTCTGCATCTCCGTGGGGTATGCCAACATGAGCGAGCCCTGCGCGGTCCACAGCAGACCGGCGCAGATACCGCAAATCGCACCAGCAGCGATGACGAAGCCGCCTGCGTCAGGGTGGATGTTGTAGGCCCTGCGTCGAGCAGATAAGCGATAGTAGTCCTTGATTGATTCTGGGAGTGCACGTACAGGTAAGAGCCGGTGTTGAGGGCATAGCCCATGGTACCGATGAACAGCGTCCAGCGAGCACCGATCTTGTTATTAATGGATCTAGGCATCCGAGGTAAGCCGCGCACACGACACGGGAGCCAAGCCCGCCGGTAACGCACCCGCCAAAGAACGAAAAGACCGCGAACGTCGCGTAGAGCGTCGAGTTGGAGTTTGCGCTGGTGGTCGGATCGATTTGGCCTCCGCCGCCGAGGCCGTTGAGGGCGTTGAACATGCCCGGGCACATGAAGCACACGAAGCCGAGCATGCAGACCTGGGTGTAGGGGTTGTAGTAGAGCCCCTTGAGGCCGCGGGGGCGCTCGAGGAGCTCGTCGGCGGTGGAGCCGTCCTCGCTGTTGTAACCCTTCTCAGCTACGGCGTCGGACATGGCGGCAGACGCGGGCAGCGGTGGTGGCTGGGAGAGAAGAGGGAGGAGCGGGTGCGGGGCCTGTTGGCTATCGGGATATTTGAGGGCGGGGTGAAGGTTTACATAGCCCCATCATACCTGGACCAAACAAGGATGGGCGATTTGGCAATATGGACTATTCCAGCGCGGTAAGGTCCCAGCCAGCAGCGTGCAGATGGCAGTATGGACGCCGGCTGCGAACCCGAAATGCTTCACATGACACGGGCTGTTCGCAGTCGGCGAGCCATAAAAATCCGTGAGAGCGCTCGCCTTGATGCCGATAAGCTCGCGAATGAAGCCTGGCCTCTGCTCGAAGGACCAACTTTGAAACACTTTCAAGCCCGGGATGAACTGTCCGTATGGTGGACGATCCACTGCCACGCGGTGCGATAAACCCAAGCTTACCGTGGGAAGTGTGGGACCTGTGCGTGGACCGCCCCCCGAGTGGCTCAAACACACCGTCCGGCGTCGGCATCCATCCAAACAGACCGCTATCGAGTGCACGCGGGGCCTGCTATACTTAGCGCGCCCAGCGTGCTCAGACAGAGGCGCACCGGAAGAAGCGTCGAGGCAAGGAAGAAGAATGTCTGGCGCGTCATCGAAGCAACGTTCCCCGTCGCATGGGACGGTGGATACCCGCACAAATGGCCTTGACGATGTGCGCAGGCGCGTCGGGGCACGCGCCGACGAGCCCACCGTCACAAGTGAAACGTCGACCTGCCAAGCTGACACGATATGCCGCCCGCCAGTCTAAGCTACACCAAACCTATTTCCGAGTAAAAGTCCCCGCCGCAAACATCGGAGGTCGTCCTGCTCTCGGGCACTCGGACCAACTCGCCCCAAGGCCTATGTATAGGCTGATAAGATTGCCTCGTTGCCCACTGTCTGAAGCCAGAACTCCGAGAAATCATCAGGAACGCGACGCACAAGCTTCCAAGCTCTAGCACAGATCCGCAAAGTCAATGCAGAAGAAACAACAACAACATACGAGATCATATCAACCTGAGATCCCACCGCGCCCGTTTGTTTATAGCTCGATACCGCGGCACAAGACCACACAAACCCCGATCCAGAGATACATGCGTGCAGCTCGAAGCTGCGCACATTACACATTACACAGCACACCAGGTACCGGAATCTACTCTACAATTACAAACCAGGTACACTAGATCTAGCACAACGGACTCCGGGCCATACGACGACCCTGCCGCCACGACGAGGGGAAGAAACGACGTATGCACAATGTACATAGATAAGACGCGCAACGGAGATAGCGTCCGACGCGATCAGTACGGCGTGTAGACGCGCACGGCGTTGACCTCCCAGTACGCGTCCGAGAAGCCCTTCGGGTTGTTGTTCACGTCTGCAGCGAGAACGCTCAGTATGACCCTCACTTGACACTAACAGACGAGCCAACACTCACAGTCCACGCAATTCAACGGCCCGCACGTCGCCGGCCACGCGCTCCCCGCCCAATCTCCCTGCACGAACGAAAAACCATCAGCCTCCCCATCCCACCCACAAGACGAGCAGCACACTCACGCAGAACGTCAAGTCAAACACCATCCGGTGCGCGTCGAAATGCGTCTCATACCCGCATTTGTCCGCCGCGGTCGGGAACGCCGCCTCGGGCGCGCCCCAGCTCTCGTCCGGGCCCACCGTGTCCGCGGCGACGATACCCACCACGTCCGCGAGGACCGCCATCTTTCCGCGCGCGTTTGACCTCGACCGCCGGCGGGAGAGCGCGGGCACGGACAGCGCGTCGGGGTTCGAGATCGCTTGCGGCGTGTTCCGGTCGCCGCGTGCCCAGAACCAGACGCGCACGCCGTCGGCCTTGGTGCGCGCCATCGCAAAGTAGCCGCCGCCCTGCTGGTTGAACGGCCGCCCGAAGCTCGCGGGCTTGGAGAAGGAGACGCCGCAGCCCTGGTTGTAGTTCACCGAGGCGTCACACACCGTTGACGTCGTCTGGCTGTTCGTTGTAGAGGTAAGTGGATTGTTTCGGGGGGAAAAGAGAGAGAAGAGGACGGGCTCACCCGGATTGGAGCCGTTGCTGGGGCATGTTGCAGTCCGGCGTCGTGTGTAGGGACGCGAGGTTCTGCGTGCCGAGGTTCACACCTGCGCCTGCGCATCAGTATCCTGCAGTCATTCCTTGTTACCACAGGTCTACTGACCCTCGACGATGTCGATCTCCCCTCCGTGCGGCCACGGGCCTTTCTGGCTGAGCGTCCAGAACGCCGGCCAGGTGCTGCAGCCTTCAGGCATGTGCGCGAGGTCGAGGACGATGAGCGACTCGTCGAACGCGCGGTTGGACGAGATGCGGACGCTGCTCCGCCCCCGCTGGTTCGGGGGCACGACGCTGAAATCGTCCGCACGCATCACGAACTTAGTGCTCGAAGCTGCACGTACACACTCCAATCAGCCATCTCGAACAGCACTCCCAGCGACGAGGCGCACTGACCGTACGTCAAGTTCTGGCTGAGCGCGGTGTGCATATCCACATAATTCACCCGCCCATGCGTCGGGTCGTCCGCCGTCTCCCACGTCCACCCGTCCAGAAAGTCGCGCCCCACGTACGTCTGGTTCAGCCGGAACCTTGCACCAGCCGCGTGAGCCGCTGCCGCGAGAAAGAGGGGGACGTAACCAGTACGCATGGCGGGCGCGGAGGGGCTTGTACGGGCCGTCGTCTACGAACGGGCGCGTGAAGAGCGTGAAGGAGAAGAGCGCGGAGAAGAAGAAGAAGGCGAGGAGGGGGAGGGCGGGTGACATGGCGGTTTTGGTGGGGGATTTTGGTTTGGGCGGGGCTTCCATGGTAGCGCGAGAGGTGTCTCTTGCATACGGTGCTGGTAGACTGTGGCTGCCTAGTTATGTGGATTCTGTGAGGGAGCTAAGGGCGTCTGCGTAAGCCTGAGTGACCTGAGGTCAAGCAAGTGTTGTCGACCCGTCAGGAGTCAGGACTCGAAAGTACCGAGACGCTCTGAATGGCCAAAAATGGCAAGTGTCGTGGTTCGTGGGTCGCCTCAGCCACCCCGTTGTAGATTTCTCAATCATCCATTGCCATGAATTGGTACACTCGCAAGCTCTAAGATATCACCACCCACAATCGTAACCGCTCGGTCCATCGAATGAACACTGCATACAAATGGGTCAAGCCCCAACCCAGCGCCCTAGGTTTGGGAAGCAGGGCATACCCCGAAACCGTACTGCGAATGTGGAGTAACACGTTGAAAATTGAGTTTTTGTATACTCTGCAGTAGCAGACGACTGGATAACATATATAGAGGTTTTAGCGGGTATATATCAGATTAATGTAGACATCATCATGATCAACGCGAGCCACCATAGCAATGATGGCCTTAAGAGTCCCACACTTCAATCTACATTGGGACGTGAAGTGGGCGTAAAGCATTTCCTACGGAAGTCTACACTGCACCTATAATACCTCGTTTGGTACCAAACATCTCAACGGGCCGAAAGGAATTGGCGCAGCCTAGTTGCCCTTTGACCACATCGTTCCTAAAGAAACAGCAACAAAAAACATAAGACACCGCCACCAAACTGCAGTCACATCCAAATCGCGCCAACCTACCCTGCCTCGGGCCCATCAACGCCACTGAGGAGGGAAGAACGCATCCCACTCCCTCCCGCGCCCCCTCGGCGGGAGCACCTCCCGCGGACACGTCTCCCCCATCGCCTTCCCCAGCGTCTGCGCAACATTCTTCAGCGCATACACCTCCACCGGCCGGCTCTTTACGGGCGCGCGGCAGACGGGACACGGATAGTTCGGCGACAGCGGAGGGGGGTATCCCTCGTAGTCGCGGTCCCCGTCGCGGTGGAGGGTGGAGTTCAACCACTTTGAGACAGGGCTGACAGAAGGTGTGCCCGCAGTTGGGGAGGCTGGCCGCCGCGGGGTCAGATTGGCATGATAGAGATCGGGGGAGCCTCACGTGTTGGGCGACCACATCTTCGTCACGCAGATCCCGCAGGTGATGTGTTCTTCTTATTCCAGTAGGGCCTGCGTTCAAGATTAAGTTAGGGGTCCGGTTTGGGTCATGAGACGGAGAGTCAGAATCTGCGCAGGTGAGAAAACGAATTAAGTGGAAAGACGCACTCTTTATCCATCTTCTCCAGGCTCGCAACGTCGGCCGTGAGCTGCGCGATCTTCGCATCCCTCACCTGTGACAGGTACTCATGCAGTGTCCTCGGGTCGATCGAGTTCATGTGCGGCGTATCCAGTTGATCGATGGCGGGCGAGGCTTGTGCGACTCCGAGTGGGCAAGGCCGATATAGGAGCGAGAGGAGAATATCGAAGAGGCAGGAGACGGCGGGCCGGGGCTCGGGGAGCTGGAGCTGGAGGAGAGCTGGGGAGTCGTCGAAATAAGGGGCGCATCGCGGATATTTGGCAAGGATCCGACCGATGGCGTAGGGGTAGTAGAAAGTACCGGGGCGTCGCGCAAGAGGCGCTGGTCGGTGATGGGGGCAGTATTGTCGTTCGAATACGGGTTTGGCGGGACAGTGGGAGAAGCAGGAGGCGGCGGGCCGGGGCTCCAGGGGTTGCTGAACACGTATTGCGAGTCGCCCGAGAATGACATATATGCAGCAGAGCTTGGGTATTGGCGAGTGAGGGGCGCAGGGCAATGTACCGGGGCTTCGCGCAGCAGGCGCTGGTCAGTGATAGGGTTAGTATTGTCGCTCAGACCGGTGTTTCGCAGGACGGGGACACGGTTTGCTATATTCGCTTCAGGCATTGGGACGGGGAGGTTCTCCTCCTGCCTCGTGCCGTTGAGCGCAGTGCCCCCTCCCTAACACCAATCATTGGGGAGACGGCCAAGGTGCAATACTTAGGACATACCCAACTGACGACCGCTCGAGCTCGAGTAACTTTGCCTCTACTTTCTGCATCTCCTCCTTGAGAGCGATTCCTTCATGCTACCGAAATCATGAATACACGCTCGGCAAGCCGACCGGTCGTAGGACGCGCCTGATGGAAGTCCATCAACTCCTCGAGCAGGACCCCCTCCCGCCCATGGTAAGCTTCCTGCCGGAACTCTGCAGACTCTACGAACATCTGCATATAGCTTGCGGCTTTATAGTGTAATCACTCAGAGCGCTCCTCAGGTCTCTCGTGACACGCGCCGAAGCGACGCAGCTACGAGCCGAGTGGATTAGTCCAATGGCAGTAACTGGTCGTGCAACCCTGTACGCCTGCTGCTTCGCCTGCTCCTTGATTTCGGCGACAGTCCGCGACTCGAAAGTCCTCCATGATCTGTTCCGCATCGTCACCGTCCGCGCTAGGAGATTGCAAATGTCAGTAACATAGCGAATCCACAAATTCCCGGCGACTGACCCGCTGCAGCTGCTGAGGCCGTCGGAAGCCATTGTCGAGCAGGTAAACGTTGTGAGTTCGATACGCTCGGCATCGACGCAGTAACCTGTGGCGCTGTTGACTAGGGGATGGTATAACGGTAGTTCGACTACGAGGGGATGAATGAAGGTCCCTCAGAGGGCAAGTGAGGCATTGCATAGTTCGTCCACCATAGCTTTAAACGGTCGCAGACAGAGTCTGTCCTGCATGCATCCTACAGGCATCCTGAACGATTTCATGCACCAAGTCCACAAGGTTACACAGCAGCCATCTTTCGTAAGTTTCTTTGCGTAAGCAAGTACCGTGGGCAACTGCAATGTAGATGCACGTCCACTCGTATTAGCACGCTCTACCAAGTGATGACGAGGTAAAGTATTAGTATATAATATGCGCGATAGCAAACATCAACTACTGCGAGACCCATCCGGGAACCCCTCGATTTGCAGCGGGACCGCGTAGGTAGACGGTTTTTCAATATGCTATGAAGCGGCCTTCAGCGGTTCAGACTGGGGCCCCGCAGACTGCTCAGGCTCGACACGAGATGCAGCAGGCTTCTGAGCCTCCGTTTGAGATGTACTGGACTGTTCCTCCTCCAGTGGAGGAACAACTTGCCGTAACAGCTCATCCGTCTCTACCTGGGCAGCCGCAATAGCCTCCGCTTCTTTCCGCTTCGCCAGGAGCGCCAACCACTCGTTCTCTAAGTGAGTTCTTGCCCTTTGTCCCTCGTGCACCTGGCCGCCGCTCGAGATGAACCGCTGCAGCTGCCTCGACACCTCATATCCGCACTCCTTCATCTCCTCGAGCGCGATCTTGTACCGCGAGTCGTTGTTCTCCACGCACTTGCGCACGATGGCGTTGTAGACCTCCACGCCGGGCTTGATCCCCTGCGCCTTCATCTCCTCGAGGTAGAAGAATGCGTCCTCGTACGTCTCCTGCGTCAGGCACAGCTCGATCAGGCGCGTGTACGTCCGCGCCTTGGGTTTGATATGCAGCTCCTTCATCTGCGCTAGTAGACGGTCGCCCAGCTCACGATGGCGGAGCACTATGCATCCGGCCAGCAGCTCCTCGAATGTCGTCCGGTCCGGCTTGATGCCTAGGGATGGCATAGCCTGGAAGACCCCAACCGCACGCTGCAGTTCACCGAGTTCAACTGCGGCTTTGATCAAAGCGTTCACGACCATGACGTCCACGGTCTTGCCTTCCTCGTGTAGCTCGTCCAGGGCCGTCCACATAACGTCGATGCCGTCGAGCGTGCCACGGGCCCACTGCGAGAGCGGGTCGATGGTCTGCAAGGTCGGCTCTACGTTATTTTCGCGCATGAGTTCAATCGTTAGCACGGCTTCCTTGATACGCTGGGCACCGCAGAGCGCTTCGACGAGCGGTGCGAAGTGGTATTCGCGCAGGGTTGCGCCTAGGGATTTGAGCGTGCGGATGACAGACGCGGCGAGCTCTGGAAGGTGACTCCGCCCAGCGGTGTGGAGGACTTCGACGCAGAGACCTTCATCGGGAAGCACGTTGAGGCGATCGACAACCCTTTCCCAGCACTGAGCGACGCCGTCGACCTACCTAGAGGTCAGCACAACACTTTGAGGACGCGCGGGACTACTCACGTAGAGCTGCCCGGACGAAGATGTCAGACACTTCATCCATGTCACGATGTCCAGCGAGCGGACAGATCGCGCTTCGAATTGCTCCGCTAACTGGCATGCTAACCGGGGGAAGCCCAAATCGGCAGCGACACGGATGAGTTTCTCCTCTATGGCGACGTTTAGAGGGACACCCTGTGCCTCCGCCTGTGCATACAGCTCCAAGCACATCTCTATGTTATTGGCCGTAAGATACCGGTCTATGAGAATCCCATAAGTCTCCGTGTCCGGAGCCAGGCCTGCGTCTTTAAGCATGTCTAGGATATGTAACGACACCAAAGGGTCTTCCAAACGGTTTATCTGTTAGAATTATCAGAAGCGGTGTATTGAAGTGAAACCGGAACAGCTCACGCGCATCAGAGTATTATACGTATCCACGCTGGGCCGGATACCCAGCGCCAGCATATCCTCAAACACAGCGAATGCTTCCACCACCCACGCCTCGTTCACGAGCGAACGGAGGAGGAGCTCGTATGTTTGTAGGTTCGGCATAACACCCCGTTCCTTCATGTCCCCGCACAGGCGGAAAGCGTTCGCCGCTCGCCCCTCGTCCGCGAATCTGGACATCGTTAGATTACATGTGGCGACTGTAACAGGCCCGGGCGGGAGCAGGGACATTCGCCCTTGTTTTGTATTAGAGGGGCCGTAGCGATTTGGGCTGTGTACCTCATGCTCGGGCACCGCTCGAAGTGCAGCGGCTACTGATGCATGCCGTCTGCTTTTCAGCGCATCTAGCGAACCCGTCAGAACTGTAAGTCCGACGTGACCTAGCGTGTCTCGCACCTTTAGAGACGCACTTAAGACTTTGTTTCGCACTCCCTGTCAGACTACGCTGCGCGTTCGTTATGACATTGCGCGAGCACGACGCCAACATAACACTGGACTTAGCACAGAGGTCGAAACCGGAAAAGCAAGGGTGACGCGTGACCGCAATCGGGAAGTCCGTTCAGCGTTACAGTGACACCCAGCCCTCCGCCTGAAACCTCTCCGTTGGTTTGCCACAAACGCGCGCGACGCGTTAGATCTTCTTGTATATACCCCTCAGCATGGTGAGTAGTTGTCGGCTGCAGTTGGACTCAGAATTAACCGCCAATAGTTCTATTCAGAGGCTATCCTCACTCGTAGAGGGCCGCTGGCCAAAGTATGGCTGGCGGCACACATGGAGCGCAAACTCACGAAAGCTCAGACGTTACAAACTGATATCGAGGAGTCCGTCGGTACGTCTTACTCTCCTTAGCTAAAGGGGGTGCTCAAAGGCGCTCGTTAGAGGCGATTGTCGGGCAGGAGGTGGAGGTCATGGCTCTGAGATTGAGTGGACAGTTGTTGCTTGGTGTGGTCCGGATATACAGTCGGAAGGCGAAATATCTGCTGGATGACTGTAATGAGGCGCTTCTCAAGATCAAGATGGTATGTCCGGACGTTCAGTTTTAACGTGGGTGTAGCCTAACCCTCGCAGGCTTTCCGCCCTGGCCTAGTCGACATGCTAGAGGACCAACTCAACGTTAAGAGCACCGCCATCACCCTCCAAGGCGGAGACATTGACCTGGACATGCTGCTCCCCGACATCAACTGGTACGTCCCCTTCTCTCCCCCTCTTCCCCGCCCTTCATCACGCGCATCCCAGGGACATGGACTTTGATGAACAAATGCCGCAGCCACAAGGCCAGTACGTCGCGCGCGAAGCCGACATCACCCTCGCCAACGCCGACGGCTTCGAGTTCAACCTTGATGACGGTGGCGGGTACGGCTGGGACCTCGGGCCCTCCGACGGGATCGGGTCCCAGGACTTCGAGGTCGACCTCGGGCTCGACTTCGGCCCGGACGACAGCATGAGCGTCGAGATGGGGCGTGATGCCGCACCCCCGCGCGCCCCACGGGAGTCGCTGGACTCACGGCTGGCGGGCAAGGCGAACACTGACTTGGATATGGACGTGCTGTCGCAGAGGAGCAGGTCCCAGGATCCGTTTGGCGCGGATGTGGATATGGATTTTGGGCCTGATCTTGGTGGCATGGATATTGACCTCGGTCTTGACTTCGGGGATGGGCCTGGGGCGACGGGGGCTGCTGATGTGACTATGGAGGCTGAGCAGCCGCAGAGCGACCGGGAGAAAACGCCTGGATATACTAGGTCAATAAGTGAGTTAATGAGCTATCGCTCATTGATTGTATCAACGATACTGATGTAAATAATAGCGTCCCCACTGTCCGAGCCTCCCATGACCCCGCCTCCAGACATGGAGATCACAGCCGGGGCCGCCGCCGCAGAGGCGCAAGGACTAACAGGCAAGGCTAAGCGAAAGCCAAAGGAGAAGAAACAAATCATCGACTCGGTCACCGAGCTAGCTGACGGACCCGGCGCGCGCGTCGGCCGCGGACGCAACGCCGGGCTGGGCTCGCAGCAAGCCAAGGACGTCAGCGGCATCCTCACGGAGCAGCACTTCCTCCCCGCCTCCCCGCTCGTGATGCGCCTGCTTGAGATCCGCGAGGACCCGATCGCGCACTTCCTGCCGACGAAGGTAACGCCGAACGGCACGTTCTTCTGCGCGGCGCCGCCGGGGATGGCGCCCGAGCTGGCAGAACTGTTTTTGAGGCCGGTGCAGCAGCACGGGGTGGGCCCCAAGCGCCGCCAGGCATCGCCGGAGAAGGGGCCCAGTAAGAAGGCGAGGCTGGAGGAGGGGAGCGTCGCGGGTGAGGATGAAGTGGAGCAGGCGCGGAGAGCGGAGAGTCTTGCCCCAAGCGTGGCTCTGGGAAGCGAAGCCTTGCGCGGTAGCGTAGGCCCCGGCGACCTCAACTTCGACCTGGGGGACAACACGCTTGGTATGGATGATTTCCAGATGCCCATACCAGAAATTGGGGACCTGGCCCAGGCGGACGTGGATCTTGTCCGAGCGCGCTCCAAGTCCGCTGCACCCTCCGAGCTGACGCGGTTGTCCCGGCTCTCGACTCCGGCGGTGGAGGGCGAGGGTGACGAGACATATGCGGATGCGGACTGCCCCATCGCTATGTTCGATTCGCGGTCTCAGTCTCAGTCGCAAGAGAAGGAAGCGGAGCCAGCTGAACATGATGGTAAAGGGTACAGCCGGAACACGGTCAAGGCATTGTCGATTATTAGGAGGGAGCTCCAGCCCGATGATGAGGAGCAACAGGAGAAGGTGCTCAGTTTCCGACAGATGTCTCACAAGGTAAGCGTGTTGTCGTTTCCATGTTGATCTGTTTTGCTAAAGATATGTCGTAGGCTTCCCGTCGGGCAGCGGCTTCGTTCTTCTTCGAGCTGCTGGTGCTCGGGACGCGAGACTGCGTCAAGCTGTCGCAAGCTGCACCCTTTGATAATATCGAAGTGCGTGCAAAGGATAAGTTGTGGGAGCGGCAGCGTCACGCGTCGATGGCACCGTCTGTGGCTTCTGGGGCTGCATGATCTTATTTTCTACATCTTGCGTTGGTCATTTACTCCCATTATAGTTATTGGTCAGTTCTTGCTTTGTTGTTCCATCTGTTGGATGAACACTGCTATGTTTCTAGTGCCGTGTCATGTTACTTTTTTAGCGTAGTACCTGTATACGAGACAGATTAAATGTATATCTCCTGCCATTGTTTCCGTGTCTTGGGAAATGCTTGTGGCCTTTAAATGCCACGGGGAGGACCCCGGGGAGCCTCCATCGATCGCCCCGGATTCGGCCACACTTGCAACTTGACGACGTTGTGGCAAAACCGCTCTGTGATACTTTCGACCATGGCGCCACCGACGAGGTCAACATCCGCCGCTAAAAAGCAAAACAATGCCTTCGCATTCCCCGCTACTGAGTCAACGCAGTCGCCGGTGCTATACGCGTATATGACGCTGTATAATGTTCTGTCGGCGGTGGGATGGTCTTTAGTGCTGTATACGACCGTATCGCATCTCCTTACGTCCCCATATCCCTCAACGCCTTCTGCGGTGCCCACAGCACCCAAAACAAGTTCCTACTTTGCCCGTCTATTCTCTTCCCTGCCTATTCTCAAGTCCGCCGCACCCGCGGCGCCCCCTACATCCACCATCGAAGCCTTTGTCCTCGCCAAACTCCCTTTCCTTGAGCCGTACCTGCGGAGGAGCCATACTCTGTACCAGAGTGCGGGTTTGGTCACGGCGGTCGTGCAGAGTTTTGCCGTGCTCGAGGTCGTGCATGTGCTGCTGGGATGGGTGAAGAGCGCGCTCCCGACGACCGCGGTTCAGGTTGCCAGTAGGCTGATACTCGTATGGGGCATTGCTGAACGATTTGAGGAGGTGCGCCTCACTTTTGTCTTGTTTCTGCTCGTTTGGTGGCACCTCGCTGAGCCCGCTCCTGCAGGCCCGCACCTCCCCCTTCTACGCCACGATGCTCCTCTCCTGGGCATCCACCGAGATAATTCGGTACTCCTACTACGCCCTGTCCCTCCTCTCCTCCCCCACTTCCCCAGCCCCGTTCAAGGTCACCATCCCGTACTGGCTCACCTACCTCCGCTACACGACGTTCTACGTGCTCTACCCGACGGGCGCGGGCAGCGAGGCCTTCTGCATGTACGCGACGCTCCCGAAGAGCAACCCCATCAGCGGCGCGTGGGTGCAGCAGATGCTTTGGGGCCGGTGGGGTGTCGAGGACTGGGTGCGGGCGGCGTTGTTCGTCATTTGGTGGCCGGGTGAGTGTGGTATCTGGTCAATATGAGAGTTGTGCGATGGATACTGATTTTCCGGTTCTTCTTCTCGTGTGCAGGGTTGTATGTTATGTACACCCACATGATGCGCCAGCGTCGCAAGGTCCTCGGGACGGGTGGCCAGAAGCTGGGCGCCGCTCCGGCCGTCCCTCCCAAAAACAAGACTCAATGAACCAAAATGCGATAAATGCTGCGATATGTTCGTGCTAATGACTTACAGTAACGAGTAGGGAACGGTTTTTTGTTTATTCGTATACCTATATGGTCTCTTTATCTTTATACTCTTCTAGTATCGGATGACTAACGGAATAGAAGGATGAACCCCTTTGCACTGTGATGTGACTTGCGATCTTCATTGCATGCCAGTGAGCAGATGCTATCGTCCACGCCTATTAGTATGATGCTTCCGCGGAGTCACCTACCCCTAACCCAAATGACCGCCGACAGACATCAGTTCAATGGATTCAAATATAGCGATTTTGACTCTTGTTCAACGGCCGTACCCCGAGTGGCCGCTGTAGTGTACGCTATACCGCTCTGCTTATCATACCCTTGGACAGCATTCCGAATTCGACGTTTATGGGAGAATTTCCTCTGGCGTTCCTGTGGATGAACGTGCGTTCCGGAAGGAAAGGCCCCTGCCAGCTGCGTTCCTCGGACGTCAGATGATCGCGTCCAGTCCATCTGGAGGTAATGTGTGCACTGCTGCAACGCTTCTCCCGCTTCGATGTTCTGGCCCATGCAGGGTCAAACGGACTCGGTTAGCTTACAATGGTCGTTGACGCTAATGCGCTGTAGTCATCAACTGACATAAAAGCCCGGCACCCGACGATGCGTCGCACGTCTTGCAAAACCCAGTCTGCCTACGATGTCGCTCCTTCGAGCTCCCCTGCTCCTCCTGACCGTGTCTGGGATACATTATTCGCTTACGGCGCCTAACCCGACTCCTCCAAATGAAGAGCGCGCACGCTACAAGACTGCCGAAGTCAAGATTAGCAAGTTGGTCGTGCTCTGGCCTATGCTCATGAAAGTGCGCACCTGCCGTCCCATGTGACCCCACTTCCTACTGACCAGCCCGCCGTTCCAGGCCGCCCTCTGGACCGGAGCGCTCTGCGAAACCGTGCTCATCCTCGCGCACAACTTCCCCGCGCACCCACTCTCTCAGAGCGTGCTCTCCACGCTCCTCCCCTCGGACTCCGCCGCCGCAGGCGCGCTCATCCTGACGCCGGCCTTCCTTGCGGGCACCGCGCTCACGCTCTTCGGCACGTACCTGCGGCACCGGTGCTTCCGGGTACTGGGCAAGCTCTTCACCTTCGAGCTCGCGATCCGCAAGGACCACCGGCTCGTCACCGAGGGGCCCTACTCCGTCGTGCGCCACCCGTCGTACACCGCGGGCGTCCTCGCGTTCACCGGCGCGAACCTGTGCCTCCTTGGGCCCGGGTCGTGGTTCTGGGAGTCTGGGCTCGCGCACACGAAGGCCGGGCAGGTGTTCCTCGCCGCGATGGCGGTGAACTTGGTGTGGACGGTCGGGTTTGTGGGGCGCAGGACCGTGGTGGAGGACCGCACGTTGAGAGAGCAGTTTGGCGCGCAGTGGGATGAGTGGGCGGCCCGTGTCCCGTATCGGCTGTTCCCTTTCATTTTCTGAGGTGCTCCAGAGGGTGCGTTTTGTGCGGCTAGTGTTCGAGATTTTCAAACTATGGAGTGCGCTCCCTTCGGACGCCTCTTTGTCGTTCCGTTGCGTCGGTACCGGTCCCAGCGCTTACCTGTGACACAGCGTATACCTTTCGTGGATCCAGGTTCGAGGAATCGTAGTCCGTCTTTCGAGGTTCATCGAGTATCCGGATATTCTCCGGAAAGCGTTCACCATCCCGTACTGGCTCATGTACCTCCGCTACACAATTTCTGCGTGTACGCGACGCTCCTAAAGAGCAATCCCATCAGCGGCCAGTGGGTGCAGCAGATGCTTTGGGGCCGCTGAGGGATCGAAGACTGAGTGCGGGCGGCGTTATCTGTTATTTGGTGGCCAGGTAAGGATGGTGCTTCTTCAAGATGAGATGGACGCTGATTTTTCGTTCTTGTTCTCGTGTGCAGGATTGTATGTTATGAACATCCACATGATGCGCCAGCGTCGCAAGGCCCTCGGGATGGACTTTGTCCAGAAGCTCGGCGCTGCTCCGGTCGTTCCTCCCAGCAGCAAGACTCAATGAAGCAACGTGGAATAAAATGCTGCAACATGACTCACAGTAACGAGGGGGATACAGTAGACAGTTGCTCGTCTACTAAGTCTTACTTAGGAGGCGCAGTATCAGGCCTAGGGATACAGTTCTCTGTTTATTCGTATGTCTATCTTGTCTCTTTATCTTTATACTCTACTACTAGTGTTGATTGAGTAACGGAATAGATGGATGGAGCTCGCGCTTTGAGCCGTGATATTTGATATTTGATCTTCATTGTGTGCCAGAGAGCTACAGTATCGTGCCCCCGCAGCCTGTTTCGCTTCCGAAGACTGACCTACCCCTAACCCGAATAACCACCAGCAAGCATCAGGAGATCCAAATATAGCGATTTTAACCTTACTCCCGAGTCCCACAGAGGCCGTAGCTCGCGACCACCCTGTCGTATCGCAATTGATAGCATAAACAATGCTGCTTTTGCTTCAATCTATTGTAGAGGGTGGTTACGAGCCTAGCGTGGCCGCTGTAGTCTACACCATACACCTCTTATCAAACAGCTTATCACGTCCCTAGACTCCATTCTAAAGTTTGTACTAGAATCTGTTCTGAGGTTCTCGTGGATAAACGTCCGGGAAAGACCCGCTGCCCGCTGCGTTCTCGCACGTCAGATGATCACATCCCGTCTCTCTGTAGGTAATGTGGGCACAGGCGCATTGCTTCTCTCGCTTGTACGTTCTGGCCGTGCGAGGTGAAACAGCCTCGGCTAGGTTACAACGGGTCGTTGACGCTAACGCGCTGTAGTCATCACCCGACATAAAAGCTCAGCATCCGACTATGCATTGTGCATCCCACAAAACGCAATTTGCTTACAATGTCGCTCCTCCGAGCTCCCCTGGTCCTCCTGTCCGCATTTGGGATACATTATTCGCTTACTCCACCTAATCCCCCTCCCCCCGATGAAGAACGCGAACGATACAAGACTCCCGAAATCAAGCTGACCAAGATAATCATGCTCTGGCCTATGTCCCTCAAGGTACGTGCCGGCGCCGCACCCGTCTCGTACCTCACAGTACTTACTGAGAATTTCCGGTCCAGGCTGCCTTCTGGGCCGGAGGCCTGTGCGAGACCGCGCTCATCCTCGCGCACAAGTTCCCCGCGCACCCGCTCTCGCAGCGCGTCCTCTCCACGCTCCTCCCCTCGGGTGCCGCCCCCGCCGGCGCGCTCACGCTCACGCCCGCGTTGTTCGCGGGCACCGCGCTTGCGCTCTTCGGCACATACCTTCGGGGCGCGTGCTTCCGCACGCTCGGGAAGCTCTTCACCTTCGAGCTCGCGATCCGCAAGGACCACCGGCTCGTCACGGAGGGGCCGTACTCGTTCGTGCGCCATCCGTCGTACACCGCGGGGCTCCTCACGTTCGTCGGCGTGAACTTCGTGTTCTTCGGGCCGGGGTCGTGGTTCTGGGAATGCGGGGTCGCGCACACGAGGGCGGGGCAGGTGTTCTCGGCGGCGGTGGCGTTGAACGCGGTGTGGACGGTTGGGTTTATTGCGCAGAGGACGGTGGTGGAGGACCGGACGCTGAGAGAGCAGTTTGGCGCGCAGTGGGACGAGTGGGCGGCGCGTGTCCCGTATCGGCTCTTCCCTTTCATTTTCTGACGGGCCTCAGCGGGGTACGTATTCCAGTTGTGCGACTCGTGTTAGATGTCCTTCAGGCTACGATATGGCGAGCATTACGACGCTTTTTGTGTCTTCCCAATGGTTCGGCCCCTGCACTTACGGGTGACAAACCGTACGCGTTTCGCCGATCCAGATATTATATTCGCAAGCTTCTATGGTTCATCTACCTACCTATTTTCAGGAGGGTGTTTAGACCTCGCAGCGAGACAACTTACTCGTGTCTATCACGGCACCATTAGATTCTTTGCTCCGCGATCATGAATCGCTGTGCTAAGTGGCCCATAGGCAAGATGAGCTTTGAATAGCAGACCGTGGGGAAGATCAAGACTGGCAAGACATACCTCGTACCTCGACTGACTCAACGCCAGCACGGGATATGTCCAATCAGATTTGCTCGCTTGCTGAGTCAGCCTTCCCGGCATGACGGCACGCTTACGTATTCCTCCCACATATAATTGGTACCTCCCACGATCCCTCAGGCTTTTACCGTTGTTCCCCTCTTACTTAAGTCTTACTCAGCCTGACTAATCCGTCCGCTGCGAGATGTTGGCCCATGCTCAGCCTCCCTTCCAACAACAACAACAACAGCAGCAGCAGCAGCAGTCGAACCAGCCTCTGCCCGCGCAGCACGCACAAGGGCAGCAGCAGCAGCCAGCGCCGGAGCAGTCTCAGCAAGCTCAGGATGGCAGCAGCAATCCGAATCCGAATGGATCAGCGCCACAGCCAGGCCCGCCTCCGACACAACAAAGCATGCAAAGCACACTGAGGCTGCGTGACGACCCACCCGCCGTGACCCCCGCCGCGCCAGCCCGAACGTCGCGGAAACGAAAGACCCCGCCGGACGCGAAAGCCAACCAGGGCCCGCCCGTGCCGCCGCCCCCTCAGCCTCAGCCCCAGCCCCAGCCCCAGGGTCAACCACATCAGCCACCGCCGCCGGGGCAGCACCCCCCGCCGCATATGGTCCCGCCGCCGCCGCATCCTCATGCGCACCCGCCCCCACCGCACCTCCTCCCCCCGCCGCACGCACTCGTGCACCACCCGCACATGCCGCCGTACCAGTATGGCGCGCCCCCGCCGGGCATGCCAATGGAGTACCCGCCGCCTCAGCAAATCCAGATGGTCATTCCCGGGCCCCCGCCGCCCCAGCAGAACGGCCAGCCGGCGGGCAGCCAGAGTCCGAACGGCGGGGCGGGGAGTGGGGGCGAGGGGAACGGAAGGTCATTGAGCCAGAGTAAGAGGGCAGAGCAGAATCGGAAGGCCCAGAGAGCGTTCAGGGAGCGGAGGGATGCGTGAGTGGTACTTCCTTTCACCGCTTTTTTTCTATTTTTAAGAATACGTCTTCGTCTGCCGGTAGACATGTGAAGGCACTAGAGCAGCGCTCGCAGCTACTAGATGCGGCCCTCGCCTCAGCCGACGAGGCGAACAGGCGCTGGGAAGAGTGTCGCGCTCTAGTAGACCAGCTCCGGATCGAGAATGCGGCCCTGCGCGCTACGCTGGCGTCACTCAGCCAGAACAACCCTAACGGTAACCCTGGAATACAGGGCCCTCCACCGCCAGGGTCCGAAGGCGGACAGCCTGTCAATGCTCCGGCTGGAGAGGGTGCAGAGAGGAAGGAGTAGGACTGACTGCATTTGGGCCTTGTCCTGTCTTCCTGCGTGTATACTGGTCGTGGTTACGACCTGTGCCGCTCCGTCTTGAAGCTTCATGCATGACTGTGTTCCATCCATCCTCCACTCCGTTGGTGGCTCTCAATGTGTATTATTATTCCCTTCTGGCATCAGCATTCTTCGCATTCAAGTTCTTTCTTGTGATGTTCCACTCTTGTCATTGCAGTAAATTATGTCTGCAAACTCAGTGACCTTCCAGCGTGCTCTCGTTGATGATTCTTAGGCTTTCGACGTGGATCGGCACGCTTCATGCAGGTGACTCCCTGGGTATATGCGCCTCCTTCGAGACTCAGATAGTAGCAGGTACTCAATTCGTAACATTCACGAGAAAGGTAACACCGTTGCCTAAAGCGCAACGCGAGCTAAACCCGAATTCACGTGGAGCTAGGGTTAACAACTTCAAGTTGTAGGTTCGTGAACACACCGTCGACCTTGATTCAAGTAAAGGTAAACTTTAGACCTATGCTCTAGATCTGCCTAACACACTCGACAACTTATAACAGGGATAAGGTAGATTACGGGTGTCTGTTGTGTCAAACTATCACATCCCCGTCTCTGAAGTTAGACTGGACTGCGACTTGCTATACAGGGACGGTTACAAGTCGACGGCCCGTAGCCATAAGATGTCATGCTACGCGGTAAATGGTGGATCTCCACTACCACTCATAAATCCGTATTCTGGGGCTCTTCTCGCCCATGCACCACAAAGTTAACCCCTTCGGTAAGTAAATATTGCTTTGTCGGCCGCGAAGCTCATCCTGACGTTCATTGTGCACTATGAGACATTCGAGTCACCTGTAGTGATGCCAGCCATTGTCCATCGCAAGGTGCGCCCACAGCGACAAACGATGATGTGATTCTTCACCGCATGTTGGCAGCTTTGGGCGTTCCGCCGATGTTTATCTTTCCACTGCCATCGATAGGCTGTGTAGCGGGTGTTTATAAATCGTCAAGCGCCACTCGAGAGGGGGCCTCTGGCCCCGTCGTACAACCCTATGGCGGATAATCAGCATGCTTCTGGCAGCGCCTTGCCGCTGACGGGTTTCATTCCGTTCCCTCCTGGTCAAACTACAAGGTATGGCAACGCCGATAGTCCTCCCCCCTCGGTCGACGTGCAGCCACCGACTCCCGGGTTGCCCGCCGGAGATTCTGGAGATGCGTTCGTGAGAGACCACTACGAAGGTGCGAGCACCGATGAAATGTTCGGGCGATTCGAATACCAGCTCGGTATGTTTATCCCATCGAAGGGAGAGGTCTCGGGCTGAAACAACGCAGGCGAATTCGCCCTGCGAAGCGAGGTGGACGCGACCCAGAATGCGCTGGCTAGCGTGAAACACGAGCTCATGGAGGCTCTAGTGAAGCTCAAGAAGATCGAAGCGCGAACAGGCGCGCCGCTCCCGGGCCCCAGTGGCTGGAGTCCGAGCGATACGGTCACTTCGCATGCCACTCCTTACCAGAACTACAGGATCTTGAGCCCGCCCGCACCTACGGGTGCGAGTGGTGCACCCGCGGGGTCCCTCGGCCACCACCAAGAAGGGAATGCAAACCAGGATGCGTCTTTAGCAAGGGCGCGAGCGCGCAGGAGCCTAGGTGCCGCTGACCCAGCTCCTGCAGCTGGCGCAGGACCTTCGATCGGCGGCGCTCAGAGCAACGCCAACACGCTCCCTCTGACTATGAGCCCGATCCAAGGTTATTCTATCTTCAACCCGCCTACGCCCATGCTCTCGGGTGGTGTACTGCCCAGTCCACGCAGTACGCAGGTGCAAGACGGTCCCATCCCGAGCGTCTTGTCCGTCACGGAGCCATACACGTGGTCCCAATATTATCCATACGCGGCCCCAGAGATGTTCATGCCGGGCACTCCCTGGCATCCCTACACGAGCGCACCCGCGGCTGCAGGCATAGGGGGCCGGACCGTACACTTCAAGCCAGAGGAGACATGGACTCCTCGCTGGTCGTTTTTCGAGCTCAAGGCGTATCGAGGTGCCAAACATACGTCTATCATCGTCAAGCCGAGCTGGGATGATGAGCGCCTGCTTCGGGAGCTCCGGCGGGCGTATAATAAGCTGCGGTCGTGGAGGAGGGTTTTATCGCTCAAGACGTTTAGGTCAGTACAGGTGGATATATTGCACAGTATTTACTCACCTTGGAGGTCCTGCGAGCAGTTCCATGGTGTTAGTATGGGTCAGCGATCTCCCCTTTGCTCTTGATCGCTGTTCTCATACAGACAGTAGGCGGATGTCAACTACGTCTATCCCCAGATGCACTTCACCGCTGTAACCTCGAGCGCATCCGCTATCTACAAGAGCCTGCGGATCCGGTATTATTTCCGGCACCCGCAGGCTCTGCGTGGGAAGAGCGAGTTTATGCAGTACCTGACGATGGATAGCAAGCACGGCGTTATGTTCCTGGAGCGGTGGGACCCTGTCCGGATCGCCTTTGCTATTCTCGTACCGATTATGTCGAGTTTGGTGGTGGCGGTTCTGTGGTCGCATTTCTCGAGGAGTGTCCAAGATGGGTTCACCATCGGTAGTGCGTGTTTCCTTGTTCCCCTAATCTGAGGATGAGCGAGAGACTGAGGATTTTCGTCAGGTTACATGGTGGGCGCCTATTCGGCATGCTTGGTACTTGTGGGAATACTTAACTGGGTGCAGTTTTAATGAGCGGGTTATTAAGCCGCCTTCGCCCGTGTTACACTGTGGATTGGTTGGCACTTGCCCTACATATATATTTTGTGGCTGCCTGAGTGCATCGTGGAGCATAATATACGTATCATGATGTCTGTGTATGTGCATGCCCCTCGAAGGAATCAGATACGCGCGGTCGCAGCATGCGAGACGCCCGAAATCCTAAGTTCGAGGCTCGGACCAGCAAGTAATGGGACGTGATGAGAGCGAGGTCGTGGATATGGATATATCTGCATCGCTACCGTGCTTGCATGAACTGAGGCATCACTTCCTGATGATATAGTTCATGAAAGCACGGATGGATAGAGGAGTTCGGGGATTGGAAAATGCTTACACAAAGCCCTCTGCCCTGGTCGGTGTAGGTACCGTCCAAGATGCCAGCATTGTCATCTGACCGATATGCGGATGCAGGAGATTATCTTGCACTCGAGATTGGAATCAGCGCATCGCCGGGGATCAACACGTTCAGCGAAGCACCTCCAAGTTTGAATTGGTGCCACTGGATACGTTCACGTTACCACCGAGTGAGTCCTATCGTGCGCCGATAAGCGATGGTCAATGCTCCGACCAGACTTCTTTCGAAGTGTGGGCTGGATTAGAGCTGTACACGAACATGGAGTCAGGATGACTAGAACCAACGAACCCGGGCATGTACGCACCCCGCATGTATTCTGACTATTCCTGCGTGTGGCCGCGTATGTCATTTGGCTGGAGCAGCCGCGGGTTTACCTGCCTCATCACCCGAGTGGGTTCGGATTTACATCTGATTATTTACCTGTACAGCTATAATTAGGCCAATACCGCCAAGCGAAGGTATGCGGGCGGTGAAGGGACCAACCGGGATCAGAGGCTCAATCCGCCTCCGGCGTCGAGTACCGCGAAAATTGCTGCAGAAAATACATCGATGAGAAGATTTTGTCGACGATAACGAGGGCGTACGCTGCCAGAGAAATAAAAAAAACATACCGGAAAGGTTTAGGCAGGCCGAGTCAGTCGCCGGAGGAAGCTGCACCGCCCGGCAGGGTTCGGCGGCGCGTGACCGAGAATGATGAGAACGCCCGGGCGTGCGGAACGGGGCGTCGGCGAGGGTTTACTTAGCCTCGACGTCTGCACTAATTAGCGCCTTTCTGTTTTCTGTTTCCTGCACCCGCCGCTCGCTGTCCTCACTGTTTCCTGTATTTCTGCTGCTTTTCTGCCTGGGGACGCTCGAGTGTCGTCCCCTCGCAAATCTGTCGACGCAGGCTGCAAACGCCGGCCACGATTTACCGCCTCGAGGCCAGCCTGCATCCCGCAAATCGGCCTCCTTCGACTCTGTCGGTTTGTTTCTCATGGGCATCTCGTTCGGCGGCCTGGGCGTCCTCTTTTCGCACCACAAACCGCTCGCCGACTGGTCGTCCTATGTTATCCCAGGTCAGGTCGAAATCAGGTCTATGTTTTTCGCCACCGTGTCATTGATCGTCTTACTCTTGCTTGGTGAGTTATCTCGGCTTCAATCTCTTTCATTTCCACTTTATACGCTTCATATATGTGCCCACGGTACTCCATTTTCGAAGTTCCATCCGTCACTCTGACACAATGGCTGCATGCTAACATGTCTCGTTTGATCGCCAGCGTACTTGACCAACCCGTCCGAAAGTTCCTTCAGGACTTACCTCACTGAACAATCATTCCGCCAGCACCTCAGTCGTCTCAACGACAGCAGCGATGATGATCGATTCGATGCGCAAGACAATGTCGGCGTTCACTACACTTTGTCGCGCCGCAAATCTGCCACTCGCCGCCAGCAAGGGGTCGAAACGTCTCCCGTAGTCTTCTCCACCGGTGCCAAAGTCTCCCTCCGCACTCCCAAGCACGTTTTCCACAACTTCGGTATCCTAACTGTCGCAGCTGTAGTTCCCCTCGGTACCAAGCCTGCCAATGCGGTGAACGAGCGAAGCAGTCGCTCCGAAGACTTCAGCGGATCCGCAGTCTGGGACACTTGGTTCATCGGGGCATTCGGTAGGTGGTGGCGCGGAGGCACTATCGAATCCTGGTGGCATGACACGCTCGTCGCCACCAAGGACGAAGAAGGGTGTCGCTCGGGTTTATTCGACATCAAAGCTTCAGATCCGTCGGATCAGTATGCTGGTAAGGGTTTCATATTTACGATCGCTTTACTACGATACACATACATGTTACCTTCAAGGTCTACCGTATGCTACGAGTCCACCGCCCCCTCGGTCACCCCCTCGGCTCAGACAACGCGAACGATCCGCTCAGCTCCCCGCGCGCAGCTCGACTCCGCCGCCTCTGCCCAAGTCTGCTTCTTTGCCGCTGCATAACCCGGACTATCGACAGACCAACGGTGATCGCACGCCCGTCCAACAATGCATCCAGTCCTATCAACCCGCAGTTCCCTCAGAACAAGGTCCCGTCCGGATTCTCTCCAGCAATCCATCCAGCCTAGCAATATTCGACCAGTCCCCCGCGATCGCTGACATCCTCAGGCAGATCGAGTCATCCAAGGCCGCCGTCGACGAGGCGAAGGGCCAGCTCGCGGACCTGCAGAACAGCGCGTCGCAGTCGCACGCTGCGCTCCAGGCTGACCTCGACGAGCATAGGGAGAGGAAGAGGCAGGAGGATGTGTCGAAGACCGAGCTCAAGTCCCGCACGAAGCATCTCGAGGACCTGAAGCGCACGGCTGACAGCAGCAAGCGTGAGGCTGAGAAACGGCTGCGCGCTGCTCAAGCGTCGCGGCAGAGTGCTATCCAGCGTGTGTCGTACTTGGACAAGGAGATAGCGGGCTTGCAGGCGCGCATGGTGGCGGATGAGGAGGCTATCGTGAAGAGTAGGCAGAGCGTGGTGGAGATGGAGAAAGAGGCCGGGGAGACGCTGGAGGGGAAGAAGAAGGAGATCAAGGTGGCGGAGGATGTGATTGCCGCACTCAACGCGCGGACGAAGGAGCTGGAAGAGATGATTGCGCAGGAGAAGGAGCGGCTGCAGCGCGCGAAGGACCAGGCGGAGATCAGGAAGCAGGACCGGACGTTCATTCCGCTTCATGTCGTCAACATGGAGCCCGAGCCCGCGCCATGGCCACCCATCTATTGCGGTCCCCAGGAAGCCCCGGTCCCAGGTGCAGGGGAATACGATGTACCTCAACCACCCAGCGTCGCGCATCCGTCGCCGGAAGTCCGACACGACCAGGGGAGCTCGGAGCACAGCCAGGGCTCTGCCGATTCGGATAGCTCTAAGCCTGCAAGGTTGAGTCTTGCCGGGATCTCCAATCTCACTTCGTCGTCCGACAACTCGAACCAGCTTGCGCTGCGCGCGAAGGGATACTCCATCTTTGACGATGATATCGCTTCCTTGACTCAGCCCCACCACCAGACGAGTTTTGCGCCGTTCGACGCTGACTTACCGTCGCCGGCACTTTCCATCTCGCCCGGGTCTGCAACTCTAATCCCCAATAGCTTGGTGCAGTCCATCGAAACCTCCGCTGACAACATACCTGTTTCTGACAACACTGACGCTTATTTGGATCGGGAGTGGGCACCAATGCAGCGCGCTTCGTATGGCGGCCTCACGACGTCGCCTACTTCACTCACCGGCGGTGCTTACTCTGACGAACACGATCCGTTCGAGGTTCGCCCGCCCCCCAGAGAGCGTTACCTGCCTATCCAGCCGGGCTCAGAGCATCTCGACATACCTTTCCCAAGTCGATCCCGGACTGATCCCTCGTCTGATTGGCAGCCTGAGAGCGAGGCACAGCAGCAGACTGACCGGCCGTCTGCGCCTCGCCGCTGGTTCTCGGTGACATCCAAGGATCAACCGAAGAAGGGTTTGAACCCTGATGCGAAGGCATTCAATTTCGGGAGGAAGAAGTCATTCGGCCCCATAGGATCGAGGCCCTCTCCGGCGGGCGCCCTTCCCACCCCGCCTGCCTCCTTCAACTTTGATCCTCTCAGTCCGTCCGGCCTTGTGTCCAGTGGCATGCCTGCCACGCCCCTCACCGGGAACTCGCTGTTCTCGTCCATGTCAATCCGTGCGTTCGCCCCTTCCCCGGAGGAGAGGGAGGCGTTGCAACGGGCTCTGGGGGGTTCGACGAACACGAGTTTGGAGCGCCTACCTAGCCTGGCTGACGTTGGCACGCTCCCACCCTCTCCCCCGCATGTTCACGGTGTTGCCTCCCAGTTCCCGAAAGCGCCGTTGATGGACGGGATTCCCGCCGGCATGCCCCGACGGTCTTGGTTCCCTGCCTTGCCCCTTGGGCGGAAGCCAAAGTTTAGCCCATGGGACGACGAGGAGCCCTCAGGGGAGAAGTCGGGGATGGAGGACAAGAATGAGCCTAGCGCGTTGTAGGGTCGGGTCTGTAAGTGTTACAAGGGGGTAGTCAAGTGCTGTTCTGAAGGGCATTGCTGTGTTGTTAAATAAGAAGAGGGGTGATTCATACATCCAGTACTATATATATTTACGACGAGAATGACAACGAATTCCAATAACACATTCCGCTGCACAGTAGGCGCGAATGAATGCTTCCGTCATATGGTCTACTATGTCATGCCGCATACCCCATTTTACGCCATGCAATGGAGGACTGCGCATTCGTCGCGGCAACTTACAGGTCACCCGGTTCCGCATTTTCGCTATCATGGCGAGGTCAGCGTGAGGGCTCATGAGAACCGGTACACAGATATGGACGTCCTTGCAAAGGATATCGTTTTGAAATCGTGAAATGGATAAGACTGGCCTATATACTACAAGCGTTCATAGAGTCCGGAAGTCATGACGTATAGAAAGATATTAAAGACGGCCGTGGATTTTGGAAACTGGCGTTCATCATTGTTGGTCGTACCGAATCGTGGACATATATGAGATGGTAGGGGCGACAGGGGACAAGCCGAAACATAGCCTTGGCATTTGAATGGAAATCCCTGCATGAAGGAAGAGAGCCGAACATAAGCGGTCCCATTGGCAGCAAAGCAGAGCGGGACAGGACGACGCACATCAAACAGAATAAAACGAGAAGGGTAATAGAAGGCTTGTATAGCTATGGATTGCATCGATCACTTGATTGAACGGAGTAGAACAGGAATAGGATACAGACAAATGAAGGTGGGGACGAGGACGTGTGTTGTCCAAACGCGACGACGATTGTAGGAGAAAAGTTTGCAGGACTGGGAAACACGAATAGCTATCTGCTGCTATACTGACTTGATGCGGGGGTATAATGTGGGGATGACTGCGTGAGAGACCAACAAACCAGGTTGAAACGAGAGGGGAAAAGAAACGTGACTACGGAAACTTGCAGCGCGCAGCAAGGAGAGACGGACCAGCAATTTTTGCTCGCCTGCTTCCGGCGGGCATCGCAAGTGTGTTGACGACAGCGGAGAACAGACAGGGATGGGTGAAAACCGGGATCTTCATCAAGTCTATAAGCCCCCATCCAAGACACCCCGAACGTCGTCCACAGTTCCGAGGTCAGCGAGGAAGGGACAGAGATCCGTGAGTTCGGTGTCATGAGGGTCGTTAAACCAGGACGAAACAGGAACGGCATTATTGGGATGGAAAATGTACGACGCAGGGGAGTTGTCGAGGATGATGGTATCGGCTATTGGTCGACCGAGTTGCGAGAGATCCTACAAATACGAGTAGAGGTCGACATTTGTCACTACCATGCCATTAAGTGCCACGTACCTTGACGTAGTTACCCCTGTGGTTGTAGCAGCTCTCTCTGAACAGTCGATGAGTAACCACACGATGTATGTCGAGCTTGTCCAGGACAGGATCCGCATACTGGAGCAGAACCAGTCATTCCAGGGCATTGTACGTAAGTTAGGTACTAGCATACCTTGCTCAAACTCGCAGTGAAGACAACAACTTCGTAGATTTCACCCATCTTCTTGAGGAAGTTATCAACGCCAGGTCGTTTGATGACATATACATTATGCCAGTGGTACTCGATCTCAACGGGCACGACATAGTCTGCTTGCTGTATTGACTGTGCAGACCAGGGATGATTAGAATGTGCTTCAGATCATATGATCGTAGACGGCAAAACCAACCTTGAAGCTACTATGCACTAGTGTTTCGTCAAGATCGAGTACCAGACATTTCCGACCAACATGCTGTGGCGCGATAGGGGGCAGCAAAGGTCTCGGCAGACCATCCTAAAACGATATGGTCATTCAAGCCCATAGAAGAACACATACGCTCATCACTCACAGGACCCGTCGGAATCCCGGCTCCTCCTTGGAGGATAAGCCTGTCCTCCTCGTCCTCGACCTCCTCTATAGCATTAGGGTCTTCGCCCTCCTCCTCCTCCGTGAAGCTCGTCCTGTCAGACTCGTCACCCTCATCATGCTGGTGAGTCCTGGCAGGACTTTCCTCCCCAGTCGAGCCTGGTGGCTGTACCGCCCCCGATGTCACGCCTTCAGTCTCCGCCTCAGGTAACAGCTTCGTAGGCGTTGGAGGCACTATGACAGCAGGGTCTTCGGGAGGTGTTGGAGGTGTTATGATCAAGGGCTCTGGTGGCGCTGGCTGACCAGAAGGGGCTTCTGAAGTAGTCGCTGGCGCAGGCTCGGGCGCTTCGGTCTTTGGCACCTTTTCATTTTCCTGGCCCGCCTCGCCAGGTGCGGGCTCCTTCTCCTGCGCCGCTGCACCTTGTGTAGATGCTGCAGGCTGGGCGTCGCCTGTATCGATTTCATGCACCTTCGAGGTGGGTACACATGGTAGAAGCACGCGGACGAGCTTGGACAGGAACGACCGCTTGGACTTCGTGCTCGCAGCCTTTGAGTTGTTCGAAGACTTGGGTGCTGCACTGGTCTTCTCAACGAGGGTGGAAGACTGGGCGCCTTCCGACGTAGTCGCTTGACGGCGAGAAGGAGCGTGAGCTTGCGAAGGAGTCGAGACAGTATTGGCGGAACCTTTATCCTTGTCGAGCTCCTCTGCCTGGGTCTGCGCGCTCGCCTCCGGCACTGGCAAAGTTGAAGAAGTGGGCGGCTCCGCCGTCTCTAAAGCAGGGGAAGAAGAGGAAGACTGGTCCTGCGGTATTCGTGACGAAAGTAAATTAGGGTCCTGCCCTTCTGCGCCCTCACCGGCGCTCCCAGAAGGATTATCCCTGTCCCCCGTCGCGCTGGCCCCCTCCTGGACATCACCACCAGCTGAAGGGGCGGGTGCAGCAGCCCCGGCTGCGCTGGACGTGGTAGCTTGCTCAGTGGTTGTCAAACCCTGCTCACCCGCAGGCACGTCCGGAGTCTGCTGGCCGGCCTCAGCCTTCGCCGCTGTCTCCTTCCCCTTCTTCGTCGACTTGCGCTGGAAAAGGTTATGCACCGCTGACGACGGTTTTCCATTAGTACTTGCGTTCGTGCCGGGCGTGTCGGTGGACGGTGGGGAGGGTGCCATGGGCACGACAGGGCCTTTCTAGCAGAACAAAGGGTATCTCGAAGGTTGAAGAGAGCAGGGACGACGACGACGACAGCCGCGCAAACAACCCTGTAAGGTGTCCGCCGCGTCCGTGTTTGTCTCTCTGTTTGTCCCCCTTCGGCGCCGCCACCGCGTGGCTGGCAATTTATGTCTTCCCCTCTCACGCTTTCCCGGTGCTAACGACGTATGGAAACCTCGTTTCCTAGAATGCAAAATGGCTCTTTGTAGCCCTCAGAAAGCGTTCCATGCGTAGATAGTCTCGTCCCTATCGAACTGCTGCAATATGCCCAGTAACCTCGAGGTGGGTGACTAACGTCTGCATACAGACCGTGGTGGGAAATCGCCAAAAGCCCACATGGAATTCCAATCTAAACCGACGTCCGCGTACCCCCTGTGTATGCGCACAACGATGAGTAGTTGTGAGAGATCAACAGGTTTTGCTGCTATAGGAAACGTTGCCAGCAAGAGACGTGAACAGAGCGTCCGCGCACACCGGCACTTTAATTGAACGTAGTCGGGCTGAAGGGGCCAATTGAAGATGACCTTGACTTCCCTGCGTTCAGCATATCAATGGAGTTTGAAGCCCAACGGTCGTGGCAGAAGCCGGCTATGGACGTTCGTTCCTGGCCGTGGGCTGGAGCGTCATTACGCGGCGGAAGATGGTTCTCACTTCATTAGGGTTCCTCGACAAGTACCTAGAACTTCGATAAGTGATCCGTTAGAACGATATCAGACACTGGAAGGCAGTGCGGCCTGGCGGTAGGACCTATTGGACAAACGACAGTCAGTATGGATATGGTCGCTATACGCAGGGAATGAATTTACCGACCGGGATATATACTGCTCTTGGAATACTATCGATATGACGAAAGGAAATAGGGATTCAGGGGGAGGGGGGCCATGATTAGTAGGGAGCTTGAGGTTTCGTTGATCAGACGGGGTGTTGGGTGGTTATACACTGACGTTCAGTGCAGCCGCAACCCTGTATGACGTCGTGCAGCGTGGAAATGCAATATACCAGCCAGACGATGGATGACCTGATATATAGCAATTGTTATAGAACGCCACGCAAGATATACAGGAACCGACTCACTCGAACATCATCACGGCCGCTTAGACGTTTCTTCGGGTCTGACACAACTTCGCAATCACCAAGCGCAACACAAGAAATCTGTAATAAATGCGCCGGCAGCTTTTGCACTGGATCTCAGACTTTGCCTGCTTCTGTCCCCTCGCAGTAATGAAAGCTGTCCTCAGGGATACCTGGAAAGACCTGGATATTGAGACCAAGGCGCCGTCAGAACCCGAGGATGAGCAATCCAGATGGGCTCGATTGAGTAGGGGAAACTGTGCGTAAGTGGGGTAAATAAGCAGAATTATAATATCGATACAATAAAGTCCATCCTTGCTCTATGCACATAACCGCAAGGTCTCCTCCCTCCATATCATCATGCGCTCCGTCATGACTTCTCTGATGGGGGTGGAGGCTGTTGCTGTTTCGGGCCGCCCTGCCCAACCTCTAGCTCGCCAACCTTTGTAGCGGCATCCGCTTCTGCTTGTATTCGTTCTAGTGCGCGAACAACTTTTGATTGCAGGTAATGAGAGTGGTAAATTGGTGGGGCTTTCCCGCCTGTACGAGGTGATTCAGGTGGTGGCGGAGGCGAGTTAGCTTTGAACAGGTGCTCGTAATGCTTTGGGTCAAGTCAGTTCGGTATCTACGGGGTCGATCGTGAGCTCGAACGTACGCTTTTAACAGCTTCCATCGTCTCGCCGCGTTTGACATTCAGAATCAGATGCGCTTCGTCCAAAGTCATTCGGTGCTCTCGTGTCAATTTGTCCGTGATAGATCCTGAGGTCGCGTTACCCACACCCGCGACATCCGCGCCTATAGCCCCTGGTGGTCGCGTCTTAGCATCTGCGTAAGAACAAATAACCACAGTTAGGACAAGGTACCAATGTCTCCCACTGGTGAACGTACTTTTGACAGCCTGCTTTCCGGCTTCATACAATGCCTTGCCGAATATTCGTGATCCAGTCAAGACGATGTTGATCAAGATTTTCGGGGCAGACTATGGGCAGAGTTAGCGTCATTAGCCTCACTGTACAATCACCAGCAGTCAAGCACGTACCATGGACCTGTGGGGTAGTCGGAGTAGGGCGTAAGCTGAAGCTGAAGTCGCTGAACATAACCTGAGTGCCGCCGGAAGACTTACCTTTACTGACCGTGAGAATAGGACCAATTTTTGCGCTTTTCCGCAATAATAACATTGGACTTGACATACCTGATACGGCGTCACTGTACGCGACGTTCTACGCCTCCTGACATCTGTCGTTTGTGTCCCCGCCGCTGCCGGAAGCGTGTAGAGCTGCTCGGGAACTGTTCTGAAATGTCTTTACTAGCCGATACTCAAGCCAAAAAGCGGAAGAAGTCGTTGGCAGCCGGGCTTGACGCTGAGGAACCGCGAGCAAAAAAGTCCCGTAAAGAGGGCAAGGACAAAAAACAGAAGAAGAACGACAAGGGCAGGACCAGGGACAGCGATGGCCAGTTCAGAGTCGTCCGGGCGTCAATGGTGGTGTCTATACCGCCTGTATTCGCCAGTGATCCTCGGGCGGGCGTGGAGGAAATGTTGGATTCCATGGTTATGAGGTATGTGCGACCCGCATGGCATGTCCTGAATTGTACGTATGGTGGAACTCGAAGCCGTCTGCTAGATATGTGCCGGCGCTGCAGGGAGTTGTCCTCGTACACTCAAATCTACAATTCCTCGACCGAAAAGCTTCCATCAAAGCAGACTGTCCGTACGCTGTGTGTCCAATAGACTTCGATGCAACCGTCTGGAGCCCAAGTGTCGGAATGAAACTCCGTGAGTCTTGTCTTGATGTTCTCTTGCATGACGCCTTATTCTGTGTAGTGGGCAGAGTCAACCTCTGTTCGCCCGATCACGTATCTTTACTCGTGCATCGCACGTTCAACGTTTCAATACCTCGTCATCACATACCGACGGATCACTGGGAGTTCGAGTACGGGCCTGCGGAGAACGATCCCGAGTTCGGTCCCCACGCCGTCCGCGAAGATGGGGACGATGCAATGAATGAGGGTGACAATGCCAAGGGTGAAGATACCCATGAGATAGAAGGAGGAGGGAGATGGGTTCATAAGGTTACTGGTGACCGGCTGGGCGGTCCTGATCGACAGCTCGAATTCACAGTCATCGGGTGTGTGGTGCAGTCCGTCTCTTATGTATTGCAGCACGCACTCATGCTGCTGGTACAGGCTTACTGTCGCAAACAACATGCTGTCCCTGATTGGGTCAATTCAACCAGATCCTTTCTCTCCGGAACATATACCTGCGAACGCGTCGTCAGCGCAAGCAGCAACGGAGGATGCCGATGTCGCAGCCGAAGATGTCGACCTCGAAGACGAAGCAGGCACGGACGACGGGGAAGACAGTGACGAGGATGACGATCCGTTCGCCAAGCTAGGTAAAATGGGAGATGCAGCTGCTCAGAGGCAGGCCGAGGAAGCCCAAGCTTCCAAGATGGAGAAGGAGAACGAGAGGACAGAGAAGAGGAAAAGAAAGGAGGAGAATGCCGGTACTTCGGAATCGAAACATGCCAAGAAAAAGAAAAAAGCGTAGGAGGGTCTTGCCTTCATTGCGCTGGCTTTGTTGTGGACGCTTCGGCGTGGGCTAGCAGACGGAATGATGATTCCTTGGGTCATTCAGGTTTTCATCACAGACTGTTTGAAGCCGCCCGATACCCATTACATCAAGCCTTTTGGGAGTACGGCCTCCATGTCTTGTAATAACTGTTATTACCTGATATATTCCTTTGGCAGTCCACCGGCCGTTCAGAATGTGGGTTGGTTTTGTCGGAACATCTGACCGATTTCACTTGCAACTCGCGCGGTCCACGACTCTTCGTGCTCTACTTCCCTGCTGAATGACACTCTTGTCGCGCTGTAATAGATTTGCCTCGAACGTGGGACGGACGAGAAACAGAGAATCTTGTTGGTGAGTTTTCTTTCAGCAAGCCCCCTCCCTTTACAACACTAGTACTGAGGACAGCGTCGCGACGTCTGCGGTCTAGTGCTATCGTGGTGCCTAATGCCACCACCCCGACTACAGGAACCACGTAGTATGTAATAAATCGCTTCCAGAGCGTCGCCTGCCATTTCCTTTCCTTTATTCGAGAAGGGGAACGGAGCGTCCTACAGAGGTGAAGGTGGATGTGAACTTCGGGATCACGAAATTATACCCCTGCTCACAGGGATAGGCCGTCCCAGTAATAGACAGAGAGGGTCCCATCCTTGCTCGACGCTGAATTCAAGCAGTTGCTCTTTGGGGATTATATCCCGGCAGAGCTGGTTGTGTTCTTCATATATCTGTCTGCCGTCGCTAACGAAGCGGCCGCGGAAGAAGTTATCCCATATTCGCCTCGAAATAGCTTTGATCTGCTGTGAGCGCGGGTGCAGCAATTTGGACAAGTGGTACATCGGGAAGGTCCCTGTGCCGTAGATTATGTAGAGTGTGCTCTGGTACCAATTTTCCGTAGGCCTGACTGTGCGTATGAATTTCGCAGACGGATGGGCCCCGAACAATTCGCCTATGCGGCGAAACGTCGACGAAAGTGTGTCAGTTCTTCAGCTGAATCAAGTGCATGGGGGATACTCGCGAGGGAACATCGCACTCGGGAGGTCTGTTGAGGCTGTAAAGTCCTGGTATGAGGCATCCCAGTCCGCTCGCGTGACCGTTCCATCGTCGACCTCTGGCCATAGGTGAGGACGCATCTCTTGTATTTACTCGCGAATTACTCTACTCTTATATATATCCGTCCATGCTCCAGTCTGTCAATGTCCTTTGGGAGCTCCGACATATGGAAGGTCTTGTACCCGAGCTTGTTCACTATTAGGAAAACGTAAGGCCCAACAGCTTGGGACTGCCTCCATGCACTGACGAGCGTCTCGGAGGCCGCCCAACGCCTACTCCGATAACTTGCATACCCGTGGCATGGATGACCTGAGTCACGGCAGATTCGTTGACATGGCAGGGCGCGGCCATGGTGTTCAGTTACCAGACCATCACACATCGCACATATAGCATGAGGACCGTTTGGAACAGGTCCGAGTTATTCCGGTTGCGTCCCGGGTGCTACGAAGTGTCCCGACTATGCTCGTAGCCTATCACGGCTCAGCACACGAGCCAGTCCACTATCATATGATAAACGGATGGTACTCCGACAAACATAATTTTGCGGGAAACAACTACAGGGACAGGTGACAAGTCAGGCAATATGATCCCGAAATCTATGAACATAACGGTAAGCACTGGGTCAGTCTATATCCAATACCGTCGATGCAATAAACTGTGGTCATCGCCGCTCGTGAACAGGGCAGAACACGAGCACGTAACACTTCTATTTGCTTCAGTATCGCAATGTGTGTTAGTCAGACATTACTGGTGAATTACGCCCACAGGATCGAGAACTCAAGTGTCCCCAGGACCCAGATTGGAGTCTAAGGCAGGAGAGTGATTTTGCGTTGGTCCCACCTTTCCAAGTACAAACCGCCAAACTGTCTATGAAGTCTGTCTTGCCGCTTTCAGTGTCGAGATGTCACAAATGATCCAGATACACAGATCCTCGACGAAGCAGAGGCTTATTCCAGAGAAGATTTTGAGAACTGGGGGAAGATATACTTAGTCTGCATTAGCATGTCTTTGCTCATATGACCCAATCGGCCGAGGACCACAATACCTGACCCGCGCAAACCTGTATCATGAAACTGTTGACACGATATTAGTGGCACGTGCAATATATAGACTTCGGCCCTGGAAACAATGCTTTTCTCTTATGTAAAAGCCTTCAGGTGTACTATCTCGTCGCTCATCATCAACTCGGATTCGTCGTTAACTAGAAGTTGTGCCATTGCGGCCCCCGTAGCAAGTACTAGTACTAGTCCGAGCTCGGTGGCGGTCTGACAGCTGATTGCAGAACGATAGATGCACTTAAAATTCCTGCTGTACAAGGTGCTCCAAAGCCAAACAACCACAAAACGACCATAAAAGGTGAGACGTCGGCTTAGATAGCCGCCAGTTACTAGTCTCCCAAAGGCGACCGATTAAATGCCTCCCTTATAACACATCGGACAACTCAATATATGATGCTGACCTGAACCCGGTCGTGAATGTCAAACCGTAAGAAGTAATATACAGCCAAAGCAATATGTAATACTCATTTTGAGATTGTTTAGTCCAGCAATAGACAGTAAGGAATATCAAATATGACATTAGCTGCCGTTAAGGGGAATATATCTGCCCGTAGGCAACCTTTCTCTCCATGTTATATGTGATGACATATAACATATATGGGGACGGTTACCACCCGAGAGTTATAACTTAAGTATATAACGAGAGTGTACGCAACACAGTATTCCAAATATGGCTCAGCATATGGGTACTTGTGATATAATTTACCAGATTCACGCATCAGAATCCACTTCAGCCTGTGAACAATATGTCATATATGGCTTTCAATCGATATTGAGTGGGCCGCCGGCGGCAACAGGTGGCGCCACTCAGCGGCAACAGGCGGCGCCACTCAGCGGCAACAGGCGGCGCCCCTTTGCCGCTCCTACCTTGCATGCCGCTCACACTGATGAAATATAACTGAGCGGACACATCAAGTAAAACCAGGCGAATTATTGCGTGATAAAATACAGAGAGTATGCACGAAAGTTATCACAACTGATTGTGAATCTACATGGCCGGTGAAGCCGCCGCTGCGTCAAGTGTGAGAAGGGGGGGCAATGACAATACAACACTCGACGCGGTCTCGAGCCCTCTAGCGACACGCCTAGCACGAGGTAGGAAGTTTCTGAGATCCTTCCCCCATGCAGCC